TGTTTAAAGTTGTTTTCAGACAATTGACCCCTGTGACCTTGAATATGAGTGAAGGTCATTTATTTGAACAAACTTGGTAGCCCTTCATCCCAGTTTGTTTCTGGCCAAATATCATCACTCTAAGTCTTTTGGTTGTCCAGAACAAGTTGTTTAAAGAAATAAAATGACGCCGGACAGACGGACGACGAACGGACTTGGGCAGGTGAGTTTATCGAAAACACATTCAGTAGTAGTAACTCCGGTTAATGTCTTCTATGAAATGTATAGTGTGATATATATTTATGTCAGTTTGTCCGCCAGCCAAGCCATTGACATTTATCATGGAAATTGTGATATCTCTAGCTGTACAATACTGAATCATTTGCAACAACTGAACATGCGAGGGAAGAACGAAATATTTGAGGGAAGAACTAAATATTTGAGGGAAGCAACAAACATGTGACGGAAGCGCTAAACATGTGAGGGAAGCAATAAACATGTGACGGAAGCACTTAACATGTGAGGGAAGCAATAAACATGTGACGGAATCACTAAACATGTGAGGGAGGCACTAAACATGTGAGGGAGGTACTAAATATGTGAGGGAGGCACTGACCCTGTGAGGGAAGCAATAAACAAGTGAGGGGAGCACTAAACATGTGAGGAAAGCACTTAACATGTGAGGGAAGCAATAAACATGTGAGGAAAGCACTTAACATGTAAAGGAAGCACTTACAATGTGAGGGAAGCAATAAACAAGTGAGGGAAGCACTAAACAGTTGTGGGAAGCACTTAACATGTTAGGGAAGCATTAAACATTTGAGGGAAGAACTTAACATGTAAGGGAAGAACTTAACATTTGAGGGAAGAACTTAACATGTGAGGGAAGCACTAAACAAGTGCGGGACTCACTAAACATGTGAGGGAATCACTAAACATGTGAGGAAAGCACTAAGCGTATGACGGATAAAAGTCGGCATCGTCACGCTCTCACAGTTAGTAGGTTGCATTTGAAGATTAAAGTAAGCGGATGGTGTTGAATGTTTTGGTGTCCTTTATTTCAAATTCAAGAGGGTATATACTATTGATGTGGTCATTAATGTCTTTTTTAAATGACAACATGTTATCAATATATCTGAAAACGGACTTGGCATTTTTTTTTTATAAATTCAGCCTCGTATGAAAACAAAAACTGTCGGCCAAGAGAGGAGCATATTTTGTTCCCATTGAATGCCTACAGTCTATAAAATCTTGTGATCGAGCTCAACAAAAAAGATTTTATATGGACATGTTTTGTTTCTTTTTACAAAATGAGCTCCATAATAGTTATATATTTATACTGCCGGTTGTTTTTCCTGGAAGTGAAAGCATTCATATAGGTAAGTTCGAGTTTTTTTTATATTATTAAAATATGGTTTCAATTGATGTTAAAGTTAATTCGAAGAAAGGTATTTGTAATCAGTCGCAATCAAAACATGTATTACTAGTAAGTCATAACTACCAAGTATCTTGTCTGGGGAACTACAGTTTTAAAACCGAACAATATACTAGCTGTTGTAAGGTTGATTTAACCTATTACAATAAATCCGGTTATACAGTGTACATTGTATATGTAGTTTGTTCTGGTACCGACCTCAAATGGTGCACCACATGACTAATGGGTTAAATGGCTATCGTTTTTGTACAAATGTTCAGCAAGAATTTTGCTGAAGATATTTATATAATCACTTTAAAAGTGATGGAAATACAATAAATTTTAAATGCATATTTAGGTGTTAGCAGTCAGTTTTTATAAAATCCGAAATTAGATTGATTATACTCAATCCAATTCAGTATTAGAAGTCTGAATTTGGATGATTTCATTGACTATCTGCCGAACCACTTGGGCATCACTACATATGTTTACACCAAAGAATGTAGGCTGCTTTGTATCGTACAAAAGCGTTCATGTTTAAATTCTTTGAAGTTCCTGGTTTACTGATTTGCCTATTATGCTATGAAATATTACGATATAAACATATGAAATTCAAGATGCCTCAGAGTAAGAACTTTTCGACAACATTCCATCTTTTGACTTTAAAAACATAAAGATGTATCGTTGGAAGGGTCAATAGATATCGAGATGTTGTACCGATAGAGGCAGATGGAATAAAAAAAAGACTACAAAACAATGGTCGTCAATGTGCATCGATTTCCATTATTACATAAGCTACCGGCATCGGTTGAAGAGTGGTTTCACCAATATTTTAATACGTTATGATTATTTTAATTGTAAACTAACTTTACCACAAATGACGTCAAATTCACAAGATAAGCCCCAGAAGGGTGAAAACAGTTGTAAAGATGACATTAAATTGGGAGAATTCCATATGTCAGCACTTTTATGAAGTTAATTTGCGTTAATGAAAAGACAACATAATATTTTTTTACCTGTGAATTTACTGCAACATTGATTGACCAATACGTTTTAGAAGGCTCATCCTTTATCCATGCGGATAAGTAAATAGCACCAGGTACAGCTTACAATTTCAACATATTGATATGAAATATGCAAGCAACATAATCGCAAAAAGGATCAGATTATTTTTATACCGTGCGCTTGAAATGAAGGTCTTAATTAACAGAACAAAGTCAAAACCAAACAAAATCTTGAATTATATTTATTCAATTATTTCTTCAGTCTAAAAAGAAAAAATGCAACGTAGCAAACTGGATTTAGAATCGTTCGTATAAGCAAATCATACAAAATAATAGAAACATAAAGCACGTCAGCAATTACAGTATACAGTCTATACCACAATTAGGTGTAGCAATAGTTGAGAGGGTAAACAAAATATCAAAACTATTTTCGCAATTTTAACAGTTTTAACTCACCTATTTATTGAATACAGAAACAAACATGATGAAAACAAACTGGTCAGAAACAAAACAGGGTCTGTGACTAGTAAAACGATGTAAAAGTTGTTCAATATGTTAAGTTACTTATTAGCGTAATTTTGCAGTGGCTATTAGTTGAGGAACATAATCAAATAAATTAAAGTGATGGAGATTTCATGGTACATTTGAATATATTCACATTTTAAGAGTTCATAATTGTAAAATTCTGTTATATATTTGGTGTACATCCAAACCAATTATACAACAAAATGTAGAGCTTAAACTGTCATTCTGACTTAGTCTGCACCATACACTTCCCACCGTCAAGTTATACTGTACTCAATACGCTGTGCCAACATCAATAACGCATAAATGAGTGAACAAAGATGACGTTACCCTGTTAACATTAAATAAAGTGGTAACGCTATGGTGATGCTTTTTTTTTTTTTTAGAAAATCAGCGCATGCGAGTTATCTTTCCCTGGGTACATGTAGGTAATGACAAGTTTATCGTTTACCCATCCTCGATGATCCAGGGTTTACGCTAACTTACGCTCTCTGCACCCCTGGAATATGTCATAGCAAAATTGAAGTCTTTATCCACAGGGTTGCACACAAGGAGCCTTCGATTTTGCTAGGACATATTCCAGGGATACAAAGAGCAAAAGGGAGCGTTACCCATGGATTATCGAGGATGACTTTAACCTCGCTAAAGCGGAACGGAACGCACCTGTGAAGTGTAGGAGAATATAACTCTCATGACTAAGTGATTTCTAGTGTTATCTTTCATACACGGTGATCTCCAGGCTTGTTGTACGTGTGCTAAATTTGTTACTCTGTATTATGCATTTATTACAGTTAATATTTCGCGTTGAGCATATATGTATATGTGTTTCAACATCTTATTTCCACATTCACTTTGACATACACAGATTTAAACATTATTGCAGTATATTTTGATAAATAAAAATAAAGACGTTTGGAAAATGCCAACATACAATAACGTTATAAAAAATCAGCTTGAGATCTAAATTCTTCGATTTTCTTAATGAAATCACCTCACAAAATGTAGAGTAGAAATTACTTCACATAAATTGCATTTTATGGAAATTATTTCTTTAAAACAAAATGGTGAAAGTTATTTTCAGTAAATTATAAAATCACAATGATGGAAAAAAATAAATCAGCTGACAAACAGTAAGATACAAATACCTAGATATTACATATTGTACAAACAGAATAAACCGATTTAAGCAAAATGGAAATGTTAAGAACTAGTTACCCGATATCCGACAGATTGTATCGATACCATAGAACTTGTAAACGCCTCCCTCCACCACCTATTGTTTTTAATAGCTGGGTTTACTTTTCACTTCTGGTTTACTTATATGTAACCTGTTCACAAACAAAGTATATTTACTAAGAAGTTTCCTGATTATGGACACAAAAGCAGCAAATGACATAATTGTGCGTTATTGTCTCATATCTGGGCTGTAGTAAAGAGCTGTCTCATGTAAGACAATCAGATGAAATCGTTACCATATCAACACAATGTTCCCGACCTTACGGGTATGATAAAAATATGAGGGGTAGGATTTGTGATGCATGTCAAAACAGTCAATGCATGGAATTACAATTTTTCTATCATCCCAGAAAAGGTGCTCGGTGAAAAAGAATGTTTTTACGACATCCGTCAAGCTATAATATGACGTGGTAGGTTGTCTACACCTTAGGGTTTGACAGAGTGTAAGAAAGCAGCAGATAATTCTTTGTAATACATTATTCAATTCTAGAATTTCTATTCCTATATCGACGTGACAATCTAAGTGGCGTCACAACTGAATAACGTTACCATATCACAATCTGATAACGTCATATTATAGCATGGCAGTTGGCTTAGAAAATATTCTCATTTCTCGAGAAAACATTTTTTTACAACATTTTCAAGCAAAATATGGGAGCATTTCGCGTAATTGTTATGTAGGTGTATGCATGTGATATAGAAATGGTGAACTTGGTTACAAAATTAGACGTCAGAACCTCGGCTTCCACTGTTCTGACCCGAAACACTAAAACCCCAAATATAATTTCAATATTCTCTTAACACCTATATGTACACATAATAGACTTTTTAACGTCTAGTTATTTACTATTAGTCCCTGTTAAAGACATATTCGACTAGCCACCACTCGATTGTAGAAATGGCCACCAAATAGAAACATTAATAATGATGGGCTTGTGCGTTGGTTGTCAAAATTCCTTATGTATCTGCTACAAATCTTCTGTCTTTGACTTAGTTGAAGCATTTCTGACCAGTAATACATGTGTTGATCATGTGATTGAAGATTTCGAATTTAATGTCTCAATCACCTGTGACACAATTGTGGACACCTCTGCCATGGCTCCATATCCTGTTTAATGTAAACAAATCAATAAAACATACTTAGTTTCGTATCACGCTCAACACAACACAAAATCCGAAGTTATTAACTGTAGATGATTAAAATCTCTTATCACTTTCTCTTTATTTCATATTGCTGTTGCCCCTCATACCCTGATATACATCAAGCTGTTTCTCTATGCGGTACAGTTGACCGTATGTAATATGGTATGTTATCCTACGCCAACAATTACAACCAAATGTATTTTCTAAATTGTTAGTCCAGGGGAAATTACTAGTTAGGGTAAATCTGTACTTGCAAATAAACGTGTTGTTCTTTCGTTATCCTATGGGGAGATATCATGTTTTGGCCCTAAGCATCACGGATGATTCCCAGTGCATGATGCAGTGTTGGCAAACATTATCTCAATGTTTTACTAAATTTTAAAGGTGCAATCAACTGTGTGTCTGTATGTGTGCTACGTTCATATTCCAATATGGAGATTTCATATGTTGAGAAAATACATGTGAGTAATATTCTGTGGCTAAACATACACATTTTTTTTTATATAATATAATGATAGATTGGAAGATGTCCTTCATCTTTTAAATTAAAACGTTATATATTCAAATATAGGGTTTCTGTGAGAAACAAACATGAACTGTTTTATTGTATGGTTTTATGGTTGATCCAAGACAAAAATAATTTAAATGAGTCATGATAAAGTTGCATCTAAAGTTATGCAATAACGACAATGGTAATGCAGTTATCAAAGAATCGATAATGGGTAAAAAAACGTAAAATTATGTGAAGAAAAACATTGGTCTTCTCCGAAAGGCAATCTATATCAACATTGGTGTTTTTTCTCTGGAAACCGATCAATCAATATAATTCGAAAGGAATTCCAAAAACTTATTGATTGTCAACGCAGTGGCATTGAAAGGTCAGGCAATTTTGGAAGATAAAGGCTGGTTTTAAAAATTCAATATTTTGCGGCTTAAGAATGGAATTACTGGTCCCCCAACCACCAACCACCAACCACCAACCCCTAACCCAAGTATAATAACAATGTGATCGATGAGAGGGGTTATCTGTATTGAAAGCCAAACGTTTGACGGTTAACAAAACCCACTTGTCACTCAACAGGTGCGTGCCACTGCTTAAATGGAAGCGAAATATAATATATATTCAATCTGAACACGACTTTGTTATTTCCAAATACATGAATCACAATTCATGATCAAAAGGGTATTGCTTTTAAAATGTTACTAGCTGGGGAGGGGCGCAACGAATGAATAACAGAAGAGTGCGAAACGAACTGGATGACAGCTTTAACACATTATACTAGAAACAACACCGAAAGGCAGAGTGGAAAAGATTGCATACACAGTGAGCTGCGAGAGATTAGTAACAGAGATAGGGGGCATGCACAGTGCGTAAACAAAAAGGAGAAAATGAGATATCAAGAATCTTCGAGACGAGCTGCAAATATTGAGGAATCGGCAAAACAGTGATACTGTCTTTGAGGGAAATGGATAGCAGCAGCTTGGAATGACTTTCCAACACTACTGATGTCACTTCGAAATATACGAACAAGGCGAAAAGACAAAAAGGGGCGACAAAGAAAATGACAGTCATTGGAAACCTACACAAGTTCTCGTCAATACTCCTTGGTGGAGAAGACAGTGGGGTTTTACAGATTGCGGAGGGAAAGCTATTCGCCACACTTGCCAGACGAATGACAAACTGCATGACTGCAAAGGAATACATGTATTCATCAGTAGAGAAAACAGGATTCCAAAGGTTCCTGAGGGTACCGAGCACACAGGCGTCTTTTCAACTCATCACGAAGATCAATATCAACCAAGGTGACAACGAAGTCACTTGACTATAAATGCGACTAGGAATAATGCACAAGGGTCAATACCTCATCAGCGGATCTATAGAGCAACATCAAATCCCAGACGACATCAAAGATCACAATGGTATCAAGAGCTACTTCAGCAACATCTAACTGCGAATCACTATGTTAGATATAACAACAGCGTGACAGACCTCGGGAAGGGGAAATACTACTGGATATACTATCTCTGTGATATATTCATGATGTGATTGAACCTTATTATCAGGGCAGTGGTCAGAGAAGCAAGAGAACCGAAAATATCATCCGGAATCCGGTCAATTTCCTTCAGACGTTTTATGGACGACATGACAATGACCTGACAGCACATACGGGCACTATTTATAATCCTTGAAGAGATAGTGGGATGTCAAGAATTGCTATCAAGTCTAGAGGGTCAAGGGATATAGTCGTCACGGTAAGAGAAGAAGCCCCTGTATTAAGATCCAGAAGGAGGAAGTTGTTACAGCCATATGACCTACCCTTTGTCATAGCTTGGCAAAGGGACCGGTCGGTCTTGGTTCTTGAAAAGTTGTGACAGGTTTAATACATGCATGGTTCGTGTAATAAGTAAAACTTTGAAATTACATATTTCCAAAATGATAAATCTTATTGAATATTGAAGGAAGTAAATGAGAAGGTGGATTGGGGCAACGACATCAAGAGGCTACAGGCACAACTTCAGGAAAGATGCTGCCAAAGGCATTCAAGGCGAGGCTCTACCACCATGAGGTCTCCTGACATGACATCTTACATGATAAGATATTATTACAACAGTAGACACTCTGGACTGGACAATCAGCATGTAATTGAGCAAGGTGTGTCCCAAAGCTTCACGAGTGTTTGTTTTTAAGCAAATCGGCCGAAACTCCAGTCCCAATTTCATCACAAATTTAGGAGATCAAGGCTGAGAAGGCAAGAAAAATGAGTGCTGATTGATGATTGTGATCAAGTGACTCTAATGATGTAATCATCTTGAATGCTTCCAAAGCGACAAGCACATGAAGAAAATAGTTTGAAGCAGCGCAGTCGAATAATTAGAAAGTCGACTGACCCACAATGATATAAGGGTACGTGAAGAGTTCGGACGGAAGGCAAACGGTACAAGTAGAATGACAAGGGGCAACTGACAAATCTGGAAAAAGGATGATAGTACAAGTCGATGTTCGGAGAATGAAGGAAGGTATTGGGAAAGCAGGAACGCAATAGTGGTGGAACTGGTGCACAGGGAGCATGACCAGGCTGGAAACTAAAGATAGAAGACTGGCCTGGTCCTTCATCTGGAGATTACAACAATGACGATTCAGTTCATGATGAGGTCATTTTATAACTATCGCCAACAAGGTGCTGAGGGAACTTGCTGACAATTTAGACTGGGACCGAACGCCAGCTATTTTTGTCCTGTCATCAACTTTGTACAATCAGGAGAAAGTGGTATGGTGTCACGAGACCAAATCGGAAATCTTCGTGCTGCACAGAACTGGGAAATGAGGGTCGACCTGGACATCATATTTATTTTCTAGACATCATTCCAACAGCCTACATTTTCATTTGGCTCATCTGGCGATGTTGGAGTTGATGATACAAAGCAAGATAAGAGTAATGAGAAGGAGTTTGTGGGTCTTCCTGATAGTGATTGGATTTGTTAGATTTCTAGAACTGTCCTTGTGGAAAATGTTCTTGATGCTAGGGATCAAGACAGTAGAACAGTTGAGGCATGACTCTCTCAGACAGCAAAGACATTTTCTAGCTAGCTATGGTGCAGAGAAGATAACATGTGCTGGAACACATCCACTAACTGGCAGTGATATTGCCAATTACAATTGCCTGGCAACATACTGTTAGATGTGGACCTAGCTAACTAAGTCTGTGGATGCGCAATCTGCAGAAAGAAAGTTGAGAAGGGGAAGACACCAGAAACAATTATATATCAATATTATAAGACACTTCTGTATTTGCCTGCTCACATTCTACCAAATGTATCAGTGCAATATTTAGGAGTTTTTCTAAAATATGATTAATAATAAAAATTATATTCATTGAAAGATACCTAAAATATAGCTATTTGACATTTAAACTCATTCTACCGAATGTATCAGTGCAATATTTAGGAGTTTATCTAAAATATGATTAATAATAAAAATTATTTTCATTGAAAGATAGCTAAAATATAGCTATTTGACATTTAAACTCATTCAAACCTCATTAACATCAAGTATTCAGACACGCCTACATATTGAACATTTTGGACACAAAGCTAAGATACCAGTGTAGGTCAGTAAAATTATGACTTTTTCAGGAAAAACCTTGTTGAAAGTGCAGCTTGTAATACAAAAGTAGTGACATCCATGTAGACTTGTACACATCCATGTCTTTCATTATTTCTTTGATTACCAGCTTTTTTACAAATGCAAAATGTATTCTGTTCAAACTATCAATGCTTCAGATATCAAGTTTGATTTTGAATTAATTTTGTTAGGAGTTCACAGCTTAGACTGTAACTGTAGACTTTAATACAAACGTTTTCACACATTTTCAAAAATTCTCAAATCCAGAAATATATTCTCCATTCTTATCATGTAACTGTAAATGTGTATTGGGAGAAGGTGTTGATAAAATATGTATTATCGAGAGTTTAACCTTTGGATCTCTAAGAAGCCTGACCTTTTCTTATACATTTTGGAAATAAATATGTTAAAACTAAACAAAAACAATTTTCATAGAAGCATTTCCTGATTGTTGCATTTTTTCAATATTTCATTTCACAAAATGAAATCATGGCATATTTTTATGTTTAGTAAACACAATATTCATCTTTTTCTGTTGCAGCCTCCCATGTTTAACTATTTCTAAAATGGAGCCAAGGTTTTCATTTTAACCTGATCTGTTCTATTCCACCCATAGACTAAAATAGATTATAGTGCATAAATATCCATAAGGAAGACCATAGGTTGAAGGTGGGATAGGATATGACTTGAAAGTCCTGTTTACCTTAGCCCAAAAACTATTATGGTTTCCCCGCATTAGTGATTATTTTTGTTGTCTTTAGATGCAGTTGATTGACAGCTTCTTTGGCAATTGATTTCACACACATTTTAAGTTATTATCTGTGTTGTTATTAAATAAATATTACTCCCAAACTCCAAAAAAAGTTACCTTGACAACATTTACATGATCGAGTCATTTCTATTATTTAACAGGGCAGACAATATAATGTCTGAAAGGGTAAGGCAGGTCTCCGAACCAACTATTGTTAATATAAGTCAAGTTCAAGCAAGGTTTACTGGGAAATAAACAGCCATGCAAAATTGGAAGAAAATTAAGTTTTACTTGATACTGATTCTAATGTTGATTCCCCTATTCCTAGTCCAAAACTATAACAGTTAAGTTTTTAAATGTGTTTAATCATCAAATTTTCTCAGATCTGCCATTAGATCTGAATCTGCCACTATATATATATACTAAACTATGGGATATGGCAATATGCTTGTCTGTTCTGTCAAGTTTCGGTTAGTGATCAATTAATGTTATGATGCAAGGAGACTGCATATATATACATGTGTACCTGTATTTATCTATAAATTTGTACATGTATTTCTAATGGGAATGTAAGATTATGGAGAGATAAAGGGTTTGAACAATGCCTATCAAGGGTGCTATACTAAAGGTACCACTTCTAATTAACAGCATAATATTTAAAATTAATGAGGCCTAACCATGCGGGGACTCGAAATCAGGCACTCTCTGCAGTAGTCCGAATTATTCTGACGTTTTATCAACGTTTTTTATATTGGTCTGTCGTCGATTAACGCCCTCTATAATATGCAGGAAATGAGCGAATAGATCTTTCGGTCCATCTGCGACATTCGTGTGAAAGTGACGATTTGTTTCTAAAATATCAGTTTGAAGAGCGATCCTGGCGCGGGTCGCTTATTTCCCGCAAATTATAGAGGGCCGTCGTTCTGACGTTAATCGACGACAGACCGATACAAAAAAAGTTGATAAAACGTCGGAATAATTCGGACTATCTCTGCAGTATAGAACCAATGAAGGGCATTATTTTAAGACTCATTTTTTTCATTAGTGTCACATAATCTCATTTACCTGTGTCTCCACATGCGAGAGTCTTTTTAATACAAGGTATCTCCTTATATCCAAAGTTTCTCAGCTCCGAGGTTTGCTTGGCACTCAGTGGGTGGTTCCACATGTGTGTATTCATGGCTGGCGCAAACAAAAGGGGGCGCTGCAAGTCCCAGGCTCGAACAGTACATGTCTGTAAAAAAAATAAAACTACCTTTTGCAACATTATATGATTTATTTGTTTTTTACTTCATTGTAATAGGGTAAATGTATAAAGGCAAGAACACAACATCAGAAGCAACTTCACCAACTGTGCAAGCTTCATGACGGTACATAAAGGAACTAAGTATGTGTGAGTATTATAAGACATATGAGATAATTGGTATTAAACATACTACTGATCTTGAGGGAAGATGATTGGGATGTAAATATGACATGCAAGTCTTAACTAACATGAACCAATTCAACACATATACATGTAGTTTCATCATGTGTGAATGTCAAAATCATTGTATCATTGTAGAAGGGTTTTTTTCGGAGTTGGAAATTGAAACAATTGTTGCATTCTTACCAATAGGTTGTCACAAAGTCCATTGGCAATCTTGGCTAATGTGTTAGCATCCAGAGGTGCAATGACCATGAGATCAGCCCATCGCCTTAGCTCTATGTGTAACACTGGGTCCTTCATTGTCTTCCAGCCCTAAAAAAGTAAACCTGCCTCTGTAAACTCCACTGATGTGATATCTTTTTTAAATAAAATATAATGCATGCCAGTGTGTGAAATGAATTTGCTTTATAAGTTTAAAATGTAGATTTTATTCAATAATTCAGAGAAATATTCATAATTGTTTTGCTTAAATACTCTGACAATTACACATATATAGTTCATAGACAGAATAAAGAGATCTTTTAATAAAGAATCCATGCATGAATTGAAAATATTTACCAAGATAATAAAAATAAACATAGCTAAAACGCAAGTCACTGAGACTGGTAGTAAAACAATATACAGTAACAACATTGACAACAAGTATGAATAAGAATGTGCTTGTGTATGAATCTTGTGTATGTATCAATAATGCATTATTAAGAGACAATCAAGACAATACAGTATTAAAAAATTTGGTCATTCGTCAAGCTATAAAACTGTATCACAAAGAATATGCAATTTATAGCATAATATTTTTTCCTGTAGGTCTGCTCTATAATGGTGCATCATTTCTAGCATGTACATGTCCACCAGACTGCACCTAAATAATAGTCATTGGGATCGCGATCATAATCTCTGTATACAATTGGTGCATGAGATCCATAACACCATCGCAAGAGATATAGGAATCTTTTGGTTAACTCCCAAAATACTCATTATGAACTTAAATACGAAATGACAATCGTATTGCTTGAAAGCATGAATATATGCTCAAAATATGTTTTCTTAATTGCGGACACCAGGGGAGCCTGGACACTGCATCCCTTACCTGCCATTCATCAGCATCTCCGAGCACTGGTACCTGAAGACTTGTGTGGTCAAAGAAGTGGAGGGCATTTTCAGTAGTCACTACTTTGATTTCCAACTGAAAGTGTGCATATCAGAAGAATTTGATATATATTTTTTAACAATAATATTTCCATAAATGTATAATAAAAAAATAACTTTATCAACACTTTTACCTATCTATCTATCTATATGTTATACTCCACAGAGACCAAAATGGCTTTAATGTGGAGGGGGTTAATTACCCATGTGATAATTAGCTTCAGTTATTCCTAGTTCACCAGGTGCTTTAAATGCCTCTTCACTTAAAATCAGAGAAGTGTGTTTCGTTAGGAAAATGAAAGTATATGAAATGATATTTTTTTGAAGATTTCTGGGATAATCTTGACATCTAATTTACACATTTATTGTACCTGATCATCAATGTTCATCAACTCTTGAACCAGTATTGGAACCTTGACCGATGCCACACTCCCAGTGCATCCTATCAAAACGTTCCTTGTTTGTCTTGTTCCCGGTACTGAATCATCCATTTCAGGTACATATTCGGTATAAATATCTCCTCCCACCTCAGAAATTGGTGATTGGTTCATAGTATAAATCAGTATTAAAGTCTAAATTTGATCACTGTATAACATAGGCAAAATGAAAGTAAAAAAAAATGTTCTGTGAACGGTTATGCAATATGCTATGTTTTGTCAGAATTATAATCCATTATTGTACAGATTCAACACCTATGATATTGGTATATCTTGCTTTAAATACGATACAAGTCATGTCCAACGAACAATTCAGAGATCTGTTCCACAATTGAACAAATGCAGTGGCATCCCAGTCGTTGTCGCTTCGGAGGAAAGCAAACTGCGTAACGGCTAAAGTACAGATAATATCAGCAAAGCATCAGGTGTGATATTGTTTCAATTCACGAGTCTTTAGGTAGAATATCTTATTTCAATAAATAGGAAAGATACTCAATTTTTCATCAAAAGTTAAAAAGGTAAGTTCTTTACAGATAAAAAAATGGATTTTTTTTTATCTATGTCAACTTTGTTCCGGGTTATTTATCTTGTAGCTACCGCACTTCAACATTTAGCGGCTTCCGCAATTTTTTTCGCTCTTAAAATTATTAGTAAATTCCGAGGGGTCCCGAGTTAGGTTAAGACGATGGAGTCGGAAGATGACGACGTGGGCTCCAGCGAGGACAACATTCTATACGATTTTACTATCCAGGCAGAATGGCAGCAAGAGCCAGAAGTATTTGTAAGTTTTTTTTTATGTTATTGGAATACAGCAAACGTCACAAAATCTCCAAAAAAGAATATCTGATGTATCATTCTTCACGGGGACAAGGGAATGTGATTTTATGTACAGTATGTCATGTGTGCAGTATGTAAAACGTTCGGACCTAAACAGGTCCAGTACACTCTGCCGATTGAGCTATATAGCTGTAAATACCTATAATAGCTGTATTGACCTATCTGAAATAGGTCTTTAGAGCTATTTTCATGTGATTTTCTTTTTTAAGGAAAACGAAACAAAGTCGCTTTTAAAATAAGATTTTATCATTAGGTTGATAAAAAAGACATCAAATAAAAGTATTCTTTTTAAAAAATAATGATGTAAAAAAATCGAAATTTTACATTGATGAAAAATGAAAATAAACATGTATGCTCTTTGTAGTCAACATTACCATCAACCTTTAATGCGACTTTGCTTTAATTTAATAAGATATGAAATCTGAGAAAATATAGCTCAATACAGCTATAATTTATAGGTGAATATAGCTATGTAGGTCTTTATAGCTATATAGCTCAATCGGCAGAGTGTACTGGACCTGCTAAACTGATCATATCAGAAAAATTCTCGGTAAAATGCCTCCCGAACTGATGGCATGAACCACATGGGTGGAAAGCTATCAGGGTCTTAAAATCTACCGCAACTTATAACTTCCTTGAAATAGAAGTCACATTTCTACTGTGTAACTGTATAAGAAATCCCTGTAGAAATGCTTGAAACCGTTGTAAAGACGGATTATTTTTCTTTCGCAACTAGCAAAATAAAGCTCCACATGTTCATAAATCAAATAAATAATAAATATATATAAATAAAACTAAATAATCTTTATTCAACGTCGTGTAAATTGTCAACAACGAACATGAGCTCTAGAAGATGTTTTATAACGACGCCGCTGAGGAAACAAATTATGTTTTCGTGGTGGAGGAAAACACATGGGGAGAAAACCAGTGTCCAATCTAGATCTGTGGGATAACAACTTACCCAATCAGACATACACTCTCTTTTTCTAGTACTAATATTAATACCCGGCTCCTTTGCCCCGGCTGGGAATTTAATCGATCCCATGCCTTGTAATGGAGCAAGCCCGGTGTGAATCACACCGGAGCGATTTTAGAATTAATTGACAGCACATTGGTCCACATCCATAAATAAGGTTTTAGCATGAACTATTTCTGTTGTTATCCTGCACAGCTTGAAGTTTAACTCTGTCTAAAATGTCGTTAAATTATCAAGTTAACATAGCAAGTGTAATCGAAATCTGAATTGATCTTCATGTTGGAAAGTTTATCTCTCTTCCGATATAGGTCAGACGTCCAAATATGGGTGTCATGACTCTATATGGAAATTGTAGTAAACATGACGGCATCAGTAGTAATACTATATTTGGCCATGCAGGCCATATATAGAAAGGATAATTGAGATAACATCGCGCGTGATCTCTCATGGCCATCGTTTCTATTCTTTCCCCCAAGATGGATTTTGTTAATTTCGTAAAAGTGTTTTTGCATGGGTAAGGATTTGTTTTTTCGACAATTATGCAATATTTTGATAACATTATACTCATATAAGGCGTGAATTATAAGCAGTCTTACAGATTAACACTTTTGATTTTGCTCCATTAGATGGCATAGGGCCGCTTCTTAGCTCTGACAACGCAATATATAAAAAAAACTCTCTCGTCGTCAGAAAGCTACGTTATCGCAGCTACTAGGGATCTAACCGAAATTCTTTCGCTTGATTGCACGCAGTAGAAATGACTGTGCGCGTCGGCAATCACGGTTACCGGGGCACCCTTATACACAACAATGGACTTCAAGCAAAACACAGAAATCCTTTGGTAAACAATATACATTGTTAACACTTTAGACTTAGTTTAAATGTTTTGTATACAGTTGGTACATGTAAGATAGGACAGGAACTGTACTGGGTCGATGATCGGTGACCAGGTAGCTCAATCTGTAGGTATGGAGCGTCTGTCAAGAGTTCGGAGGGTCCCTGATTCAAATCCCAGTCGGGCTGGTGCATTTATTCTTTCTCCTATTACATAATTGTACTATCAAATAATCCAATATGACCTTATCTGACTCAATACATGTATTTTCACCTCTCACCTGCTAAAATGTGTCACACAATCAGGTGAAAAAAATACTCCTGAACTAACACTCAATAAGATCTGACATCATGATACTAAGAAATACTTAATACATCTGTGTACATGTTTGCTTGAAAAATATTAGTTTTAACATACTTATTAAAACTGTCACTGACACCTGGCCTGGTCTCAAAATCACGGATTGCAAAGGTGAGAAAGAGCTTCTCAGCACACAGCTCGGAGAACACCTCGCTCTAGGTCATAAAATAAGCATCCGTATATAAAGTAATTAAACCAGGACTCCTAAGTGTCTAAAGATGTGGATCAGTTAACGTTTCTAATTAGAATGTGATGATTTTTTTATAGTAGATACAGTATACAAACAATAAATTTAACAACAATTGTGAAACTGGAAATGTTTTAAACAAGCTGCAACTAATGTAAACCAGAAATTTTAAAATGTGGTATCTCCAAATTTTACTTCCTCAAAAGTGGGAGGAAATTAAAACAATGAGAGTGTTTAAAAATAATGAATTTATACAATTCTTATATTATACAGCAAATTATATCCATGATTAGGGCTTTCAGGTATTCATGAGAAAATTGAAGTACAAATTATTTTTGTAAACTACTCTAACTGAAAATAAGATATTACCCGAAGTAGAGCGTTCTACTAATTTCTTTTCATTTTTCTTTTTACATTTCTTGTGTTTCTCATTTTGGATTAACATCCCAAAATTATAATAACTGCAACACTACAAATCAATTGATAAATGGTCACTTACCTGCATTATTATTTTTTGTTTTCAATTTCAGAAGAAAAAATTGAAATTGATTCTTCTACATTCTATATCCTTACAATCTGTTAACAAAGAAACACAGTAAGTGTGGTATATTGTATTCCCTCACTGTGACCAGGTATTGGAGCATCCTAATATCCTGTCATGACCATATTAATTAAGAGCCTCCACAGGTTGACAGGTGTGACTCTATACTTACTGACAAATTTCAATGGTTGAATCTCGTGAGATTACAGGAATTATTTTGTTGTTAATGCAGACCAAAGGTCCAAGGGACAAGAGCCAGCTGTCCATGATGGGAAGGGTTTCGTCTGCAACTCAGAGTAAGTATAATCAAGCTCACAGTGTCATTCACTTTACAAGTTAACTTTTAAGTAATTAAAGTTTAGAGTTAATTTCTCTACATAATAAACTGTTTATGCCACAGTAAGTTGTTAATACTGCTGTAAATTTACACTGAATTATGCCAAGTTATGCATTTCAGGTTTTCCTGTCAGCAATGTTACTTCTTGCATATTTCTAACACCAGTAATGAAGTTCAATTTAATTTGTCTAACAACAGATATACTATATCAACATCCCAAAACTGTCAAGGTACCGAAACACCGTACCACATTTTATTCCAAACACTTTTTGGTACAAGGGAGCCAGATTTGGAATAATTTACCGGTTGAAGTACGACTCTCTTCCTCCTTGATAAAACTCAAACAAAATATGATTGGTAACATTAAGAATGCGGTTTAATTGTCTTTTATTTTTACTATTATACTTTTTAGATACAGCTTTGATTTGTTTTATTTTCGCTATATTAGCGTGTATTCTGTCAATTTTTAGCTTTTGCTACATTAGCATATATGTAAATTAGACAATTTGTCTTTTAATGAAAACCATAATGGGTTAAGCACGGAATATATTTCGTTCTTCTGTGATAATTTTATTGTAATTGTATTGAACGACCGTTTAAATTATGAAATAACTGTGATATGAATTGCTGTTTTAGTAGACCAACAATTATTTTATGTACATTTATTTGCTGTGATACTACTTTGTCCTTTAACTAACCAATTTTACTAACAGAGGACCCTGTGGAAGATTAGCTTTGCTAAACAGGTTTTGTATCCTCAATAAATAAAGTTTATTATTATTATTAAGTTCAAATTTGTGTACATGTGTATGATTTCAGGAAGCCTTTGGACATCATTGAGAATTGTTGGAGTGCCCATGCAGTAAGTTATTCAATATGATGCAGTTACTTTTGAACCAATGAAACATAACTGATAAGACAGTTCAGTGAACCTGTGTCGTTTTACCCTAAATCCAGTTCGCCCAAGGTTGCTTTGCCCTAATATATATATATATTTTTGAGTTATAATTGTCGGTTGAAATGTCATTAATGATTAAAAAACTTACTATTTTCATGTTTCATGAACAATTTTGTTGTCAAGAGAGATTAATGCAAGTTTGTGCTAGTCTGTACGTGCAGATCTGGTCAACCATGTATGAGTATAACGGGTCTAACGACATAAAGACTAAGGTAGACCTAGGAAGAAAACTTCAAATGAAACTGTATTTACACCATACACAACTAAATGACCAAACTCCCATTTTTTTCTGGTCATGCTCAAACTTGTTCCATTACTAAGATCTATTCCTGAATTTAAGTGAAAATAGTAAAGATATAGATATTCAGTAGTGTGCTTCATTAGAACCTACGTATACCCACTTTACTCAGGGCTTGTGTGTCGTTTACCTGAAAGTCATGTCAAGATCATACACTTGTAACAGTAAACTGAACTATATCTTCTAAAATGCCAAACATTATTTATGTTACAGGTAACATTACTAAAAAAAATAGAGTAGGTGGGTAGGGATGTTTAGGTACATTCGAGCGACATGAATTGTTGGTGTCGGAAATAAAAACTATGATTGGTTGGGTACCTGAAACAGACAGTTTTTTGGCCAAACCAATGCAAACACCTGATATGATTTTTCTTGTTCATTGAGTCATAAATTTGTTGTATTGTAGAAGTGCCAGTCCCTGTTCCTTACCTGCAGGATTACTCAAACTCATCAACAGTGAAATAAATTGGCACATTGCTGTGGGCAGGTATGTATAGCAGGAAAGTGTATTATTTTACTGTATACATGAAGTGTTCAGTAGTAATCTCATAAAATTCTTAGTTCTGTTTATTTCCAGTCTGTCATATAATACTAAGAAGATTACATACTTTCCTAGGCCTATATTCAAAATAAAAATAATAAAACTATTGAGACATGTAATAATAATAATAATAATTTGAGGTTCTGGTACACCGCTTTATCACAACCTAGTTTGTAGGTCATCTCAAAGTGGTTCACAAATTATTATCCATGGTTATAGGGCCTTTGCAACCAGCCAATATCTTTCTGGACTCCGTGGGGAGCGTACAGCCGGTGCTGCCATTTCGGCGCTCACAGCTAGCATTCTACAATTCTAGCACTGCCCAACCACATACTCATTTACAGCTGAGTAGACTGGAACAAGCGGAGTAAAGAGTCTTGCTCAAAGATACAACACAGTGTCGTGCCGTGACTCGAACCCGCAACCCTTCGGTCACGAGCCCGGCGTCCTACCACTAGACTACTGCGCCTCCATGTAGACAACAAAAGAACAATGTCATGAACCTTTATAGATATTTACTGCAGAAATAGTATTACAATATGTATCTGTTGTCTGTTGTTATTGCAAGAAAAAAGCCACACTTATTTATTTATTTATGATACAAAAAATACAAATTGATTGACACTTACAAAAATCTGATGATTTTATTTTTCAGGAATGCTGAGGTAGTGGCTATCCTTCAGGACCAGTGTGTAGAAATCAGGTATGGAAAAAAGTATTTGCACATGAATATGAAGCAGCCATGCATGGTCCTAAAATATCACTCTGAAATGTTTGGAGGAATTATTTATGAGGATATTTTGATAAAAATGGACAGGATATCATTATAAACTTCTTTCTTTTATTACTGTTTGGCAATTCAAGAACTTTTCTTTTACAAATATGAATTATAGCTTTTCCAATTAGCAAATTAACTTAATTACCTATAAGTAATGTTTTGGTGGGAATGTGATTTATGAAAGCGTATCTTTAAGGGATACTTATATTCTGATATAGTGATTGTTAGAAAGCTAATTGAGACCCCAAATATAATTGATTTACCTTCCACTGCACTAGCAAACAAAGCAGGAATTTCTCTGGGCAATATAATGTCTGTTATCCATTACTTTGGCCCTAAGTTGTAAGAGTTTTTAAATAATTCAATACTCCCTAAGCCATATACATATTATAATGAATGGGTTTCTATTTGTAAGTTGTGTTTTAAGTTTGATTGATTTAAATTTTTTAAAACATTATTGAATGTCATCCACAAATTGCAGCATTCTGTATTAGTCCTTTGTGTCCACAGGTCAAGCACTAATGGCTACGAGACAGTAGTAGGACGTGGATCAGTGCCTCGAGATCCGTATCCTCAGTGGCGCTGTGTAGCCTGGAGTGACGACAACTCTATGGTAGCCTGCTCCCAGAGTGATGGCACTGTGGAGGTGTTTGATATGATTGGGACTCGGCTGTTCACCATTCAAGGGGTACGTTTTGTGTCAAGGGTTACGTTTTACACAAAAGAGATAATCAAATTTCAAATACATCTTGTGTTATAGTACATACATTTCCTTTCTCCATCTTGAAAGCAAGTACCTATTTCCAATAACCAAAATTTTGGGCAGGACATTCAATGTTTGTATAAAGGTCAATTTGTTAAAGATGGTTGACATTTTTCTCCAAACAGTATTTTTCTAGTACATGTACCCGACAATTGGTTATATTCAAAACATCCTTTTTTAGGAGGGGGGGGCTCAATGGGGGCTTAAAGGCACCCACCCTGTTCCCAGGACATTTACCAAAGTGGGAAGGGGGCTTATTTGCGAGAGGGGGCTTATTGACGGTAAAAGAGAGAGTTAGATCTATAATAATTATTGTATTAAGTGTGTTAATAAGGACTTTTATATTCTAAAGGAAACACCCAATGAAAATGGCCAGCCATTGGAACTGAGTTGTGCAGTAGCAGGCATGGTTTTTACTGACACCATCCCCAACCCACCATGGTAATATCAATTTTCATGTTTCATTTGCTAATTATATTGTATTCTAACACTTTGGTTAATTAAAAATACTTTCCATTAGTTAACAACCATGTATTTCGGGACAATAATCATTGCCTGTGCATGCATTATTGATATTTTTCAACAAATCATGCACATGCATTGCTCTTCCAAAAGCCTCCCGAGTTTACAGTTGCAAACATCTATGCCGTGTGATTTGTCTCGTCAATAGTTCTAACTCATTATAATTAGAAGATGACTTTGGCGTCATTGTCATCTACACTGGAGGAGGTTTCTGTGCAATTGATTTTAAATCATCCTTGAAATTTCTGGGGCTAAACTCACATTCTCTGCAGCCCTAAGATATATGTTATGACACACCTGGTACAGTATATAGTATCAAGTTTGACTCTGTCCCAATCTGAAAATCAAAATGACTGCTACCTGGAGAAATTCAAGTGACACATCCACTTCTGTGAAATTCCTGTTGATTATTGATGTTTGTAGGTCTGCGGGACTCCTGGTCGTGAACTACCATGGAAGCTTACACAAGTACTGGGTAGAGCGTGACCAGGGATACGAGGCTCAGCACAGCTTCCTGTTTAACCAGCACTATCCACTGGGCATCAGCTGTGTGGAGTATCACTCTGGGGCTCAGCTCCTCCTTGTGGGTGGAGCAGGTTGTGATAACACCCAGTCCTCCTCCCAGGCGCGACAGGAGGGGCTTACAGCCTGGAGAATGCTGTCTGGACCTCCCCACTACAAACTCGTCACAGACTACCATGAGGACCTGCACCAGGTATGTGGTAACAATCTTGATCTCAAGTGATCTACAGGGGCCTTACTTATTGAAGGATGTCATACATGTTCACACCTTAATCTGAAATGCTAGCCCAGTTTGATATATACTCTTGACATTTTTGGATTTGTGATTTTACCAAAGACTAATGTTTTTGTGAATTGGATTAAAATGGTATTGAATTGTACATTGACACCTTTTAAAGGGCATAACACTTAGGTTAAATTGGTAAATGTAGCAGAAAGCAAGAAATTTTGGATCAGAAATGCATTAATTACATTTCTAATTAATGAGGAAATTGATTTTACATATAATATATATTTATGGGTAAAAATATAAATTTCCATACGTACATGTGGGCAATAATCTGACACAGTTTAAACTAAAATTGCTGTTTCAAAAAAATCTGATTTTTTTAAACTTTGAAGATATATGACAAGTTGGTTTAAGTTTTTTAATGGAATCCAATTGTATCTATCTTGATACTGAAGCTTGTCACAAATCGATTTAAGGAAAAAATTATATTACATGTACTGATATTTTCTTAATTGTTAATTAAAATTTAAACAATTCTTGGATTCAAAATAATCATGTACCTAACCATTATCAAGCTTATTTTTTGTAAGAGGTGATTTTATACTCTAGAATTGATTTTATTTTGTTGTATGTTTTCAGTCAAAGCAAGGAGCATCATTCTTTGGCAAGTTTAAAGCTAGTTTACGACTGAGCAGCACTGGAAACCAGGTGAGAGATTAAAAATTATGTCAATACATTGTACAAAATAATTATTTGTGTTTTTATCAATCATTATGATTATAAGATAATTTCATACATTAGATAATATATGGAGAAAAAGGAAAAGTAACATTTCATAGTTTAAGTCTTTTTATCTCAGTAATCTTCACTATACAGAACAGAATGTTTCTGAAATTAAAAGATGAAACAACACTTGATCAAGTGCTTATTTAATGCATTGATGAAAAGTATTGGTATAGAAAAAAACACATTGACAAAAGAGTAAACATATTTAAATATACAGGGAAATCTGACATATATGTACGTTTGAATTTTGTATTCGAACATATTTTGAGTGAATTCTATTTTATTTTTTTTCAATTTAAAATTTTACTAAAAAAGTTTAAAGATCTACGGAACGTATCTTTTAAAAATGTTATTATTGCTTAAGTTCAGCATCTTACAAAGTTTAATTCTGTTTGCAGGATGGTATTTATAAGATGTGTCTCTCCCCAGACAGTAAAATGCTAGCGACAATTCATCAGTCAGGAAAGCTAACCTTATGGCAAATCCCTTCACTGAAAAAGTACCGAAGTTGGGCCCACGATGAACAGGTAGAAACCACTTAACGGCCTGTCAATTATCTTTTACAGTTTTACCTTTCGACAATTTGAAAATAAATTGTAGTAGCAAATCTGTACATTTTATCGCACTGTTTTTGTATAAAATTAAATGTGGGTATTTTTTTTCAACAGCATCATTATATCGTAGAATGAAAGTTGGCACATTAAATAAAGATGAATTCATTGCCTACCAAGAAAAAAATATATGATTTCAAAACTTTCAGTAGTTTGAAGTTAATACATTTACTGCTGCAATGTAAATCTGATATTCTACGTGGTTTCACTTTCAGCCTTATAGTGAAGAGTACAGTCCTGAGTCCATGGAAAACCCACAGAAAAGGAAGATACTAAAAGGTGATTTTTTAACTAAATTAAACTACTGTTACAGTGGTTTTTAATTACTATTTCTGTCTCTTCTTTAAAATCAACTATAAAATTTCATGTGGTAGGATATAGAAAGATTATACATTTGCGATGAATTTTGAGAAAAAGTATATAAGAAAGAATTATGAGAGAAAAATATCTAAGAAATTTCAAACTAAATATATTTACTTAAATAAATGATATATTAATGAACAAACAGTTTTGTCAGTGCTCTTCATCTTTAGTAAAAAATCAAAAAGACCAAGTCAAGATACAGTATCAGTCATTCGTAAAAGTTTGATATGTTGTTTGTATTATTTGAACAGACTTGGTGTCCTGTAAGAATTTGATTGATGTCAACTGGTGGAATAATGAGGTAAGTTATATGATGTGACCTTTACTTGACCTTGATTTGACCTTGAGTTGACCTTATGTTACTGTCATTTTAATTCCACTTCAATGTCAAAAGGTTTTCCATGTATTTACCAAATAAAAAATGACAGAAAAAACCCACAATAACTGGTTTGATTAAACATACACACATAAGACAATTGTATGAATAAATCCTATATATTTTAACACAATCTTCAGGCTGTGACCTTGTCAAGAGGTACAGGAGCTGTCACAGTGTCATCGGCTTCGACACTGAAGAATCTACTGGGCACATCTCCAGAGTGGTTTGAGCCGTCCTCAAGGGTAACAGCCGTACATGATGGAGGATTTCTTGGACTTGAGGTAGATTTCTAGGAATGGACAGAAAAATATTAATTTAGAGTCATTTATGATGTTTTTTTCACATAGTTTTGTTCATATCAAATGTATAATTCAGTGTACATTCAATCTTTCCTTTAATAATGGCCAACTAAAAACTGAAATACATTGACCTCTGCTATATGCAGCCAGTAACAGGACACCCTAATCAAATGTACTGTATTAAGGCACTGTTATATGTAGACACCTGTCTAATGCAGCTAATGAGAACAAGTACAATTAACACTTTTATTTATAATTTTATGCAAGTCTGTTCCCTATATGTAGCTTTATACAGGTCTAAGTCCAGTCTCCTGCAGTGTTAAATACAAATGCTCATTTTCAACTTTTGAGAGGATTGGTTGGGATGGGGGGCATATTTCTTTTTACAAACATCAATTCTATAAAATATTGCAGCTATGTATACTGAAATGGTAATGAAGGTGACTGGACAAATCAGGCTTAACTGCATTTAATTTTTCTATATAAATACAAAATATGAACAGGTTTGATAACCACATACCAGAGAAATGCTGAGTTTAATATTAGCGCTTCAACTATATGAAATTGTTTTGCAGGTTGAGAACAAGTTTCGGCAGAAACGTCGTCTTGTGACTGATGACGACAATGAGAATGAGGACAGTGATGAAGAAGAGGATTCAAGATGGGTCCGGACATTTCTTACCAAAAATGTCCTGTCTTATTTTCGTGACATTGAGCGGTTTCAGCCTCCAAGGAAACGTCCCAAGTAAGGAGATCATGGTCATGAATTCATAGATTTAATATGTAATTGCTCTGAAGAATATTGAGACTGCAGTGTATTTAAATTATGTTTTCTTTGCATATTGTAGGATGGTAAACAGAACTTACAGATTGGTTTGTTTCAAATATACCACTCCTGAGGAACTGTATACAAGAAAGGTAAGCCAGTGTCTCAAATATACCACTCCTGAGGAACTGTATACAAGAAAGGTAAGCCAGTGTTTCAAATATACCACTCCTGAGGAACTGTATACAAGAAAGGTAAGCCAGTGTTTCAAATATACCACTCCTGAGGAACTGTATACAAGAAAGGTAAGCCAGTGTTTCAAATATACCACTCCTGAGGAACTGTATACAAGAAAGGTAAGCCAGTGTTTCAAATATACCACTCCTGAGGAACTGTATACAAGAAAGGTAAGCCAGTGTTTCAAATATACCACTCCTGAGGAACTGTATACAAGAAAGGTAAGCCAGTGTCTCAAATATACCACTCCTGAGGAACTGTAAATCTACCACTCCTGAGGAACTGTGTACATGAAAGGTAAGTCATTGTCTCAAATCTACCACTCCTGAGGAACTGTGTACAAGAAAGGTTGAGGGGTCCAGACGTGCCTGACCGAAACTTATATGCTGACTATTGCCAATTTGCGTTATTTCTTTCTAAAACAATGTCAAGTCACATGTAGTTTTTAAGTTACGTTATGTAATTCAGTGGACGGATGAAAGAAGGTCATAATATTCTTGAAACACTGTTTTTTATTCTCCGAAACTGTGGATTTTTAGCTCTGCTTATAGAACCGTCCAAGTGTGTTCGTTTATCGTGGAAAATTTCTGTGCCACACGTACCGTTTCAATCGGGATACGCGAATGTAGCCTTAGACTCAAATATACCACTCCTTAGGAACTGTATACATGAAAAGTAAGTCTGTACCTGTCTAAAAGCTTCCACTTCCAAGGAACAGTATACAAGTAATATAACAAAGGTAAGTTTACCACTCAAGAGGAACTGTATACTTTATTGAGGCACGGTAGTCTATTGGTAGGATGCTGGGCTCGTGATCGAAGGGTAGCGGGTTCGAGTCACGGCACGGCACTGTGTTGTATCTTTGAGCAAGATACTTTACTCTGCTTGTTCCAGTCTACTCAGCTGTAAATGAGTATGTGGTTGGGCAGTGCTAGAATTGTTGAATGCTAGCTGTGAGCGCCGAAATGGCAGCCCGGCTGTATGCTCCCCAGGGAGTTGAGAAAGATATTGGCTGGTTGCAAAGACCCTAGCTATAACCACAGATAATAATTTGTGAACCGCTTTGAGACGACCTACAAACTAGGTTGTGATAAAGTGGTATATAAGAACCTCAAATTATTATTATTATTATACAAGTATGCTAATTCCAGAAATAAAACAATGCCTTACCCACATTTTCCAAGTTAACCATTTAGATGACGATAGTTTGTAGTGCAGTGATGTTTTGAACTCTGGTTTTATTTACAGATTGAGTGTGAGGAGTATGGAGAGGCTCTGGGTCTTGCTAGGGCGTATAACCTTGACTCGGACAAGGTGTACCAGCGTCAGTGGAGGAAGTCGGGTGTGTCCAAGGCCTCCATACAGGACTATCTGGTGAGAGCTTCCTACAATCCCTGTGTGATGCAGGGCAGGCTGAAAAATCTCAAAGCCAGTGGTGATAATTTGGAAGTCTAAAAGTAGACTTTGCCGAGTTATAGACAACAAAATAATTTATTGTGAATTATTCAAATTTCCCTCATTATGGAAGGCGAAAGACTTTTATGAGTTTAGACAACAAAAAAACTATTGTGAATTATTCAAATTTCCCTCATTAGAGCGAAAAATTCAAAAGTTTAACTGTGACAAAATTTCCTGGTATACAGTATACTGTTTGCATATGGCGAACAGTAATACAAGGCATCCACACCTAGCACGTCAGAGGGAGACAACGCAATCGTAGACTACAGGACTTTGGGATACAAGTCACTGTCTACATCTACTGTTTGTCAGGATGAACATGAACGTTATAATACAGCTGTATATGTTAATAATATTTAGGGATAAAAGAGACTTGGACTTATGTCAAACTATATACACACATACAAAGATATAGATTTAAAAATAGTCAGTGAATTGTACGTACCAAAATAATGTGTTCGGATACTAATACTACAGACTAGATAATGCTCATTTACTAATAATGACTGCGATGAAACTTTCTAGAACATTATAAATAGATAATATCACGTGACTTTACCTGTATTACATCACAATCTACGATATAAGTGTGCCCAGATTTTTAGTACTTCAGGGGACACATTCAGTTATTTTAAAAATCGTCCTGAAGAAGCCCACTGTTCGGGCGAAACCGGGAGACGTACCTAATTAAGAAGATTCAACTTATCCTGAGCTTGTTGCGATTGACACCTATTCTCTGTTTACATATGATTGCAAATTGCAACACAACATGTGTAATTTGAAGTTTGACTTCTATAAACGAATTTGTTTCAGAGTAAGATCAAGAAGAGAGGCTGGGTCCTCCATGAATGTCTGGAGAGAATGCCTGAAAATATTGATGCCATGAAAGAGCTGTTAGAGTTTGGTCTACGAGGAACTGATCTACAGGCTCTCATCGCAATAGGCAATGGAGAGGATGGGGGCAGGTGAGTAGGGAATGTGACTGGTACAGTATAGCTACACTAGGTACACTACAGGTCAGGTATGGCAGCATTGACTACTCATGGGATACGTTGGAACACCAGGGTTAGGCCCAAAAGAGTAATATTTAATGTTTGCTATAAAACCGTACCACTCAACAAAAACCAAAATAAAATTCATTTATTTGCTGTTAAAAAACTCTTTTTATGAATAAAAAGACCCACATTGATGTGTACTTATTTATGTTGTATATCCCTTCCTTTTGACTATCACAAAAACAATTACAGGTAAATTGTAAATACCTGTATGGAAGAATAAGGACCCATCTAGAGGTAATCACTACAGTGTACTTAGTATTTCAAATTTTTCATAATGCACTTAACTACAATGTACTATATTTATAATTGTCACTGCACTAGGAATACTATTTTTCATGCATTGTAAAGCGCCTGCGAGTAACTTTGCAAATTATACAGGGCATTATTTAAATGTTGTATATTATTATTATTTAAGTAATATTAAGAAAGGATTCATTTTGTAGTTTCTCAAAGAATAAATGCGCTATTTTAACACAATTTTATCAATAATACTTATAAAGTTTTAATCCCTTATTTTTCCATCACTCTCATCACCTATCACATTCAATTCTATTTTGTTCAGGTTTATTCTATGTGACCCAGAAGAAGGATTGTATGCTGATTTGTCTCTGGATGAGTTTGATCCGGATACAGAACGAGTGAAGGAAGAATTGAGGGAGGAAAAGACCAAGGAATTAATGGCACAAGTTGATTTTTCAAAGTAAGTTGAAATTTGTAAATTTTGATAAAAGGTACTTTTGTTGAACCTAACAATTACATATATCTGGTAAATATTTGAGAGAATTTCGTTTAAAATATTAATTTGGTCAATGTCGGGCTTACATTTTTCACCAAGTTCGATGGGGAATTTTAATATCTTCATTTACCTTCTGATTACCCATACTATTACCAAGCAAACATGCATATTATGATTCTAAATCAACAATATTTCTGTTAAAACATAGATTTTGTTTTAAATTTTAGATTTTGATAAGACATATTCAAAGATCTAAACTGATAAGACATGCTCAAAGATCAAAACTGTTATTGCAGATTTCCATAACGTTTCCTTTCAGTTTAAACTTGGAGCAAAAAGAGCTGTGTAGAGTCCGCTTCAAGCTTCTCCAGTATCTTGATCGACTGAGAACGTATGAAGTAAGATAATGATTCACAATCACTCGTAAGATAACAGCATGAATACAAACATTGTTATGATTATTACTGCTAGATCAGTATAAGGACCATGCAAGATGATTCTTTAGTTTTAAGATAAAACCATCATGTATATAATTTCGATTTATATTACCAGCTCTTGTCGAGGAGTATTTGACAGCAATCCTAATGTGCAAGTAATCAACTCCCTTTGACAGTGGTTTTCTGATCTGTTGACAGACAAATCAACATTATCTTAAAGAGGTACAATTGTGAAAATAATACTGTGGTGCACGTATTATACTGTATAATGTCTATTTGTGAAAATAAAGTAAAATGCAGAGCAGTTTGAGATATAGAGCTGTGGGAATGAGTTGCCATGGCAATCATGAAACAATTCTATAGGTTCTCAGGGTTATGTCTAGAGATAAGTATTCAAACTTGAGATTGGAAGACCATTTCTGTATTTATTCCACATTATATGTTTTATATATCAATATAGCTTATACTTGGAGGAGAAGTGGCAGCTGTCTCAAGGTTCAATGACAAATTTTTCGAGAAGTTCCGTTCTCAAAATATTGTAGAGGCTGCAATGAATTACGCTCGGGTAAGGTTGATGTAATGATAAAATTTTCACAATATTAGTTTGGTTTGTTGGTTATAGTTTTTGAAGAATTTGATTTCATAAGTACAATAATTTTTGTTTCTCTTTTCAATTAAATTCCCTTCCAAACGATTCACCAAGGATACATATATCTGAAAAGATATTTTGTGCTATTCTGATTTTGCACCATTTCCAAAAGAAAATATGATTTTCATGTACTGTAAATCCTTGAACCATTGAAAAAAAAAATCTTAACAATAGAAGAAACAGATAGTTGCAATGGGGTTTTTTTCAATGAAAGAGAAAATATAACTCTACATATTAAAGGCATCACCAAATTAATTTGTTGTTCGTAAGGATTGCACTTTTACATATATTAACAGAAAGGGCTATTCCATAATGAACCGTATGGGTCTACGTAGGTGGGAGGCACCTGTATCAATATATCATGGGTGTTGTGTTTAAACCAGATCTGCCTACCATTCCTGATATTAAATCACTTTTAATATTTTATGGGTGATAGGGTCTTTGAAAAAGTGCCACCTACCCCTCCCATACGGTTATTTCTGGAACAGCCCTTATATAATGATTGGTGATATTATGCAGTTTAGATTTTAGTTTACAATTATATTTCCATTCTCTTTTTCCGGTTTTTTGTAGCATGGTGACTGGAAAGCACTGGACTTACTATTCACCTACCACGGCGAGACCCTCAAACCTCACAGGTTAGAATGAAATGGAAAAATCTTTTTACATATTTTATGTACTTATTAATGGTGATGAAGTTAGCAGCTGAAACGTATTGGTATACATTTCTCAAATGTCATCAGACTCTGTAAAGCTTTAGTTGGGATGTTGTTTAATGAGATAAGTTAGAGAAAGGTTTATAAAGTTGAACTTTGAGATTCTCAACACATTTTGTCACACAAAAAACAACCATTTTGAAATCATCTTTCACCATTGTGTTGGTTTACAGACTTGCTGTATTGTCAAACTTCCCTGAAACAACTTGTCCAACAGAGTACAGAGAATTGTTACCAGAAGTTATGTAAGTACATCTATATATATTTACCATTATAGGGCATATTGCCACGATATAACCCTACCAAATTCAGTTGGCATTCATATAGGCTATGAATACCATGGACCGATTGTTGACGTCATCCTTATTATGATGTCATAGTTGTTACGTTGGATAACACTGACCCTCCTATTCATTGAACAAGCAAACATGATACATACATTATTTGAACTAAATGCTGAATAATGATAAGTGTAATTGAATTTTCTATGAGATGAACAGATTCCCAAAATGTAAATATAAGTATTGAACTGCTTTCAGTTGGCATTCATAAGCAATATGAATTCCAACTGGACAAAGGCAAATCCAACATGACGTGCGCTTCATTGAATTTGCCTTTGTACAGTTCGCATTCATATTGTCTATAAATGCCAACTGAAAGCAGTTCAATGCTTAAATAATTTGTGAAATTCAGTAAATATTGCGCTTAATTTTTTGTTTGTCGATAAAGATTGCCTTTGTCCAGCAGAACCCAAAAAAATCATGCCCTTTTTCATAATTTTGCTGCATTAAAGTTTGAACTTTTGATCAGAGATGTTTGTTTATTTAAACAATAACTGGTTGTCTGGATGTAATTATTGTTGATATAATTACATCCAGATAACCAGGTATTTTTTATATTTACATATTTTTCTTTTTTAAGACATATTCCTACAAAAACCATTTGCCCTGCCTCAAAATACATTTCAGGTGGCCATTTTGTTTGTTTACATATTCCTACACCTGAAACAGGCAGTTGTAATTATAGTCGAGCAGTTGTAATTATAGCCTATATAATTACACTTGCCCTCTAACACTGTTGTAATGGGACAGCGCGGGGGCAAATGTAAATATAAAATGGTAACATTCCTTGTGGTCAAATGCTACATCTTGAAATGACTTGATGCAAAATTTTCCACATTGTTCTTGTAAATGAATGTGAAGAAATAATTTCCAAAATTTTGGCGGTATACTTTTGTACAAAAGATTTTTGTTAATACTAATATTATTGACTTGTTTGCAATTAAAATCCATTACCTCATTGTGTGTATTAAACATTAAATTTATATGTACAGGTTTCATAGAAAGTTACTCATCGAGAATTTTCGGGCTCCTGTCCTTCATCAGTCATGCCGAGGAAAACCTGTACATATTCTGCGAGATGTCCATTTTGAATGACATGTTTCTATATGATGTCTTTTTTTAATGGCTACAATTTAAAATATCATTAAAAATTGACATCACACAGAATCTGTACAGTTTTTCCACAGCATGACTGGTGAAGGACAGGATCCCAAAAATTCTCAATGAGTGACATTCCATGAAATTTGTAAAGGTACTGGTATGTTTCCCTTAGGTGACTTTTCAAAGTTATGTATTGCTTACATTTATTGATCAAATGGGCCAAGATGTTGCACTCTATTATACTACATGTATAACTGTTATTATTCCATGCTAAACAGCCCATCAACACAACAGATTGTTTAGACATAAGGAATAGGAAGTGACAACTCTCAAACAACACAGATAAAACATGTGACAGGCTAGCTAAGATACTGAAGTAAAATTTCTAGGCTAAGTAGTACTTAACAGGTTCCAATATCACTGAATCACCAGTTACTGGTATGAATGGTTTACTTTCTGACAGAGATGACAGCGGTGTGTTTCCTGTCGAGGAGAACAGCTGGCGTGACCCAGACTGGTGTGAGACACAACAGTGCAGGTACATTTGGAAAGCTAGCATTTTATAATGTTACTGTTTTCTCAGGAGCAATTATTTGCTGAATATGCTAAATTGTCTTATTACGGAAAAGTAGACAAATTAAAAATTTTAAAGTTATTTCTTAAATATATTTAAATGAAATCCCAAATCAGAAAATATGATAAAAATGAACATTGAAAAAATACACCATTTTTGTAAGTGATACTTGATTTACTGTAAATAGGGATCATATTGCATTGATTAATCAATTCTTCAATTTTTTACAGGTCAGCTGTTGAACCTCTTCAGGTAGATTTGGGAGAAATTTTGTATGAAGATCACCCAGAGTTGTCACAATTCCGGTCAGTACATCTTATTTGCTGTTGTTTCTGTAGATATAAACAAACCATTAATTAGTGTAATTTTTTTAGCTCACCAAAGCACCAGTGTGAGCTGATGCCATATACCGTGGCATCTGTCATCTCTCCATACTGAGATAGATGTAGGCTTCTGAATGATACCTTATCTACTGTTTTATGTATGGATGTCAGGCTTAATGTGAAAGTACATCAACGGTCAGGACATTGATTTTATTATCTATAACACTATCTGTATAGGAACAGATATGTGGGGTGCAAGGGTATCCGTGAATTCCACGCTTCTATTGAATCTATAATACAATGTGTTACATATTTTCCATCTTTCTAAATTGTAGATAGCAGAACAAACAACGTTCGTTGAAATGTGATGTTAAAAAACTAGTTCTAATGTGTTCTTCTATAAGCCTTATTTTGCTTGTTTCTATTTTTACAACAAATTAACAGAATTCACAATAATTTTCAGATTTTCAATTTTCAGATTGACTATTCCATATTGCAAATTAAAGAAAGTATGAAATTATGAATTTAATTGAAATTTAACTGTTTGTAAATACAAAATAATTCAGAAATGAATTAAATCTAATGACAATCTATTTTTGCTCCATAATCTAGGTGTGACGACTTATCTGCAGAGTTACTGACAAAATGGTACAGGTACCGCACCTTTGAGATAGAGGCCATGTCCTTACAGGTAGAACATGCCATCAACCTCGTCAAGTTGGCCGTGGAGCGTGGCGTACAGGTAAGACAAAACAACTTGGCTGAGGTAGTGATGATTGGTAATCAACAGTGATAGTCCTAGGTGACGATGCTTTGTACTTAATGCAATGCATTGTGCATTATTTGAATATTAAAAAAGACCAGCATCTTCTCCTGAAGAACATAGGCCTGAAGGCATGATATTATGCCAGTCAGTAGCTTGCTTGTATGGAGTGCTTCAAAATTTACAAAAAGAAGTGACTTTGACCCATAATCAAGGTCACAGGGGTTAAATTTGTTTAAACACTGATTTGAAAAGAACAAAATTTCTTCTAAAGAACATAACAGCCTTGAGTAATGCTATTTAGGCAGTAGCTTGATGGAATGTAGTAATACATTTTTTTCAAAAAGATCTCTTTAATGAAGCAAGCTTTTTCAGGCCTTTCTCAATATTGCCTTTTGGACCAGTCTTAAAACTGTAATTTTGCTTACATTATATTGTAACTTGGTAACAGGGTTTGAGCGATCTCCTAGACGACCTAGTTACCATGGAAATGCTGGTGTATGAGTGCCACATAGAGGACACAGTGACGTTTGAGGCAGTTACAAAAATGGCAGACTATGAGAAACTGGAACTTATAATGTCAAAGGTAGGATCAGGAGTACTCTACCCTGTAGTCTAGTCCATCTGTCTGCTGTCACAGCAGACTATTACAATATGTACAGGAATCATTGTACCTTATTATAACTTTGATGGTAAACATTACTAGGTACATTCCCATTACTTTGACTTATATGAAGAAAACTAATGTTTAAAAAATATACATATACCATTGTAGTCTTTGGATTTGCATGTGTGTGGTGATAGTGACAAAAATAACGCAGTATATGTATTTGGGATCTACAGTGACCTTAGTCTGTTGTTTCTACTGAATGTACATACTAGCTAGATATATATGACGACTATATTTCAATGCAGAGAGGACATTTTAGGAAATGAATGTAACTATTTCAATACGGGGACAATTTTTGAAATGCTTAAGTATACAAATGTAAGAATTTAAGGTCATTTTCTTAATTTTATGAAGTTCAGTGGATTACTGACATACATACTGATAAATAAATGTAAAATACTGTGATTCGTAAAATGTCTTATAACAATGAAAAAGATATCAATGTATTTCAATGTGTCGCTTGTAGTCGACTGAGGAGATGTATTTGAAGAACCTACATCGCTGGTTGGTGCCATTCCTGACTCAATGTGATCGACAAAATGCTGGTGCCTTCAACACCCTGCTACGGGACTATATCGTCACCATGGCAAAGACCGATCTCAGCCTTGTCCTCAAAGTCTTTGAGTCTTCCAAAGCCAGTGTAAGCAATCCTTGGACCATACCCTTCCTTTCTTAAGAATGAAACTGGGACTAACTAGAAAAAAATAATGCAAAATTTCCAGTTTTCAAATATTAACAGCTCATTCAGTACAACAGTTAAAATGTTTTCATGAATCATCAATTATTGCAAGTATCTACAAATTCTGATGCATATTTGACCCAAAACAATTGAATGTATTGCACCACATACAGCTGCTCTCATTTCTTGTAAAAGCTTCTTCTCAAGAATGGTTAATAAGGTTTTATCCAAACCCAAGTATAACAACTCTCTCATTGCTGTAAACATGTGAGGTTTTTTTCTTTAGAGTAAATTCAAAATAACATATTGCTGTCCTTGGTCTCGTATTTGCTGAGGCATATTTGACATATTCTCAAATTCTACTTTACCAAATTGAATTTAAATTGTGGTTTTCTCGGAACCTCTAATGACACATACAAAATATTTTCTTTTTGATGGTTTTTTTGCTTCAATTTAATTGTGTAAATTGAAAATAAATCTGGAAAGATAATAATTATTTTAGTAAAATTATTATCACATAATAACAATGTATGTGAGATGATTTTGTATAATATGTAACAACAGCTACCCAACCCTGTCATCAAGACCCAGGATGATGTCATGTCGATAGCATTAGAGGCTGTGTACAGTTGTGAGAGGTAGGTGAAAATCACGAAAGATTCATGATTAAGTTTTCCCATTTTGCCTCTGTTTAAGGATATAGACTATTGTACATAATTGTTTTTTTTTTTATGAAATTAAGTTATTTTCGAACGAGACACTCTTTGCTTGACAAAGTAAACAGACATATTTCGAAAGCTTGCAAAATAAACTTTTAATTAGGGCCCCGTATCGGAGATACAGGTGCCCTATAGTAATCACTCTGTCTGTCTGTCTGTCTGTCCACAAATTTTGTTCCTGGCTGATAACTTTGGTATCTATTGACCGATGTACATGAAACTTGGTCTAGATGTTCAGTTTACAAAAATACACATTGAGGTAAAAAGTCAAGGTCAAAGGTCAATGTCATTGGGTTCAAAGGACAAGGTCAAATTTTACATCTTTTCACTGATGAACATTTCGTTATGACATTATGAAGCAAAGTTGATCCGAATTAAACAAGGAGTCAACTTACCTAAGGTCAAGGTCATCGGGTCAGGGGTCAAGGTCAAATTTTACATCTTTTCACCGGTGAACTTTTCGCTATGACATTATGAAGCAAAGTTGTTCGGAATTAAACAAAAAGACACACTGAGGTAAAAAGTGTAGGTCAAAGGTCAAGGTCATTAGATTCAAAGGTCCAGGTCAAATTTTGCATCTTTCCACTGATGAACATAATGTTATGACATGATGAAGCAAAGTTGATCAGAATTAAACAAGGAGTCGACTGACAAAAGGTCATGGTCATTGGGTCAAAGGTCAAGGTTAAATTTTGTATCTTTTCACTGGTGAACATTTCACTATGACACTTTGAAGCAATGTTGCTCAGAATTAAGCAAGGAGTCAATTCACCAAAGGTCAAGGTCACTGGGTCAAAGATGAAGGTTAAATTTTGTACCTTTTCCCCGATGAACATTTTGTTATGACATTATGAAGCAATTTTGATCAGAACTTAACACAGAGTCAACTGACTTTAGGTCCAGGTCACGTGGTCCAAAGGGTCAAGGTCAAGTTTTGTATTTTTCACTGATGAGCATTTTGTTATGATATTAAGAAGTAAAGTTAGTCTGAATTAAAGAATAAGTCAACTGACCAAAGATCAGGGTCACTGGGTTAAGTGGATTTGACCCTGGCTCTTGATGGAGGAGGTATATAAGGTGAAATAAAGCAAATCAAAGCTAACAAATGAGTATTGCACCGGTATTTACATTTCTGTTAGCCCAGCAAATATGGAGGTGGAAGGAAACAAGACTCGCATCATAGTACATGTAAATATATATTTCGCTTCCTTGCGATTCTTTTTTAAGTCCAAATGTCAAATGTCAAGCTCAGCTATATGGGCAGATTGCTTCTTGATAATTATGGGGGATATATTGCCACAAGACGGGGCCCTTACTGACCTGTCAGTGTTCTAGTTACTGTTTGTGTTCAAAACAAACTTAGCCTATAAACATTCATGAAAATTAGCTGGATTATTTTAATCATGATATCATTTACCTTACAAATGAAAAAAATATAAATATAAATCTACAGAATTTTTCTTACAGAAATGACCAGCTAGAATTGCTGCTGGCCATTGTCCAATGTCTGCCGATCAAACTCAAGTCTAGTACAAAGTAAGTGTGTGTATAATGGTAAAAACCAGATAATTGTCTAATACAAAACTTTTTTTTGTTTAAATGGAATATTTATTAAATTTCACTATAATATTATATGTAAATAGTCATTTATATATGTTTTCTAAAGTCTGACCCTGTCTCACATTAGATCTTAAAACTCTTGTTACCTATCCAAATTAATCCAAGTACATCCGTGTATAATCCGGCTATCTGGATAAATGAGACCTACAATTAACGTTAACTATATTTATGTTCCATGCAACACGCTGTTACAGCGATAAGTTAATCTTTGCAACCAATTCCAAACTTCTGTCTATTCTGAACAACTATATGTAATACATTGGTCCCTGTGTTGTTAGAAGTAGACATATGAATGTATCATTCATGACGATCGTATTGATTTGTAGAACACAAAGGAACGAAACACAGGAACTCCACAGTAGGGTAGACAAGCTGAAGCAGCATCTAAGGTGTGTTTGTGTATTTAATAAAGAATGCCTTTTCATTTTAATGTCAGAGGTTACTAAATGATAACTCAGTTAAATTTACAGAAAGATTTGGGTACTGTAGAATCATTTATTTTTGTGGGGTTAAAATTTCATGGTTTTCATATACTAGCCTGTTTCAAGGACATTATATTTCACTGATTTTTGATTTTCTCCTTTTTATATCTTACCTAATTTATGTTTTTGTGGAGATTTAATTTCGTGGATTTTTGTTATCCACAAAATAAACGAAATTAAATGTCCCACGAAAATTATGATTTTACAGTACTCATACAAAGCAGTCTTAGCAGACACTTAATTTTGCAAAATTCCAATATTTCTCTTATACTGTAATTATGTTAAAGGCAATGAATATTGATATAAAACTAACAACATCACACATGCTTTGTGATAGTCCTAATTGGATAATTGATTCTCAAGCAGGCAGGCAATCTGATTTGTTGACATATATTGTACCGATAATCAAATAGTTTATTTATGTTTAGAAAGTTAGACAATGATCTAATGCTCCTCTGTACATTTTGTGATCAGTGCGGCTAAGATTCTGGAAAAGCACGGTGTGATGAAGCCACTGCATTATTTGAAAGAAACGGAGGTAAGATGTTACATCAATGATTGATCTGTGAAAACAAATTTCTGAATTTAAGTCAGACTTGATACTAAATATCGTCGTCAGGTTTTACATTGTTGATCTGGATCCTCTTAGTGTTCTATGTTGTAAGCTCAGATTTTTTTTAAATTTCATAAAAATTTGGAACTTAGCTATCTTTTAACCCACTAGATAGGTCTATAATTGCAGCTTTAGTTATGCGTTTAAAATGTTATTATAGAAGTACTAGACTTTTCAAAGGGTGACAATATTCTGATACTCCACATGAGTCAATTTTAACAGATTAGTTTCAAAATCACAAAACCTATCTAGTTGCTTTGTAGCATGAAACCTTCAAAGTCAACTTACTATCACTTTTTGCTGATAATTCAGAGATATAACAGTGAGTGTATAGAAAATGTGTCTGTCAAAATTTCACAACAACTGGTTGGTCAAGAAAGTTAATATCATATAATGTAACAAAAATCAAAACGGTTTGTAAGTGTAGAACTGTCAGTTAAACTGTCCATGATTGTTATGTAAACAAACTCTTCTTTCCCTTCTTTCCAAGCAGGCATTTCTGCAGTTACCGAATGCTCTTATTATTGATGCTGGTTCCAATTTAGCAGTGATAAATAAATATAAATGTCCCGGGTAGCTAGGGTAGTTCACTTCTTTGCTGGCTCATTCTCCTTCCATCCGAGAAGTTTGTCCAGGACATATTATCTTCTATACTATTTTACCTGGAGTAGCCAGATTTGGTGTACAAAAACATCTTTGGATGGCAGAGTGCAGAGTGCAAGAAGAAGGTCACTATGACCTCACTGTGACCTGTGCTTTGACCTTAACTTTTGAAAAAGTTTGTCTGGGGCATTTCTTCTATACTATTTAATCTGGAGTAACCAGATTTGGTGTAAAAGTCACTGTGACCTATGACTTGACCTTTGTCCTTTACTTTTGAAAATGTTTGTCTGGGGCATATCTTATAAGCTGTTTCACCTGGAGTAACCGGTTTTGGTGTACTAGGATATCTTGGGATGACAGAGTGAAGAGTGCAAGAATTAGGTCATTGTGACCTATGACTAGACCTTTGACCTTTACTTTTGAAAATGTTTGTCTGGGGCATATCTTCTATATACTATTTCACCTGGAGTAACCAGATTTGGTGTACAAGGACATCTTGGGATGGCAGAGTGCAATAAGTAGGTCACTGGGACCTCACTGGGACCTATGCTTCCTGACATAAGTGTACTGTTTGTTAAATGTAGAAATCATTACCGGTGAGGGACTATGGATTGCCTTGCAATATTTTGCTTTGTTGGAAAGAGTCTTACCTATAAACCTATATTGTAATGTATAGTTAACAGTAATGTACCTATTTGAATATCAGTATCAAATTTTAAAATAACCAATGTGTAAGCATTTCTTCCCCATTTTTAGGAGGATGCTGAAGAAGCGAGGAACCTGATGATTAGACTGACAAGAAATGCTGGAAAGAGGTAATAGGTGTTAGTGATTTAGAAAGATGTAAACACTTAATGTGTGTGGGTGTATGAAAAGAGGTAAACAATAAATTTTGTTTGGAACGGTACTGAAAAGAAAGAATCATATGCAGTGGTTTCCCTACACCACAACTTTTTTTTAATAAAATATTATAATTTTCAGTTAAAGTGGAAAAACCATTAATTCATCAGTCTCATGCATTGTAGAGTTTGTTGCCTTTTCTAGATTACCAACAAATATTTTGACTAAATTAATTTTTCAAAAAATTCAGAACAAAGATAATTTTCAAATAGAAACATGTATTTTAGTATTTCATAAAATCAGTTGTCTCCTTCTTTGTTCAGAGAGAAGCCCCTGGACCAGAAGGAGTGGCGAATTCTACACGAGGATGTGTTAAATCTACAGCAGAATGTCTACAAATGTCTCTCTGCTGGTCTGTGTCATGAGGTATGTTTGAAAACATAAAATTGGATGTAATACACCCCTGCAGGTTGGTTAATATGAGAAAAGAATTGACCTGCTGTATTCATTACATTATCCTGTAAAGCAACAAATTTTGGGCCTCCTGTGGATTTTCTGTTAGTAGGAACATTGAAGAAAAAATATCAGGCCTTCTTAACTTAAAAGCAATACTTGAGATTTCTGTCTTTTCTTTTCATACCCTTTTTACTACTACTTTTTACTTAGTGTCTCTCTTGGTACACCTGCTGTAAACTCATTTTCTACCGTGTGGCCCTGTATATAACCTTAATGTGTTCACATTGTGTGGGTTTATACATACAAACCACTATTTTTTTCATGCATTTTTCTTTCTGTCATTTTGAAGCAAAGTGTCTTTCAGATTGTTTTTGATATTTTAATTCAATCATTAATCTAAATCATACCTATTTTTAATACATATATGATCAAATCGGTTTTTTTTAACCAGATTTTCACTGAGAGCGTTCTGTGCTCCAATCGTCGGGAGAACATAACTATGGCTGGTGACCTCCTGGAGAGGGAGAGCTCCGAATCAGAGCAGTTGTTTCGTCCTGGAATTCACCAACATCACAAAGTCCCATACGAACAAGCAGTTCAGCTAGTGATCAGTGCTTCAAGGGAGTACTTCAACTCATCATCCAACCTGATGGACCCATGCATGGATCTGGCTCGCGCTTGTCTCAACCTGATATGTGACACGCCTCTTCCTCCCTCCATTCAAGAAGAGCTGGATCTGATAGGGTCACTGGCACTGCTGGACGATTTCAGTGTATCTGTTCTACCGTTACAAGGTAATGTGTAAGCCAGGAGATGACTTCTCTAAAGAGGCTGTGGTACAGTAAGTTATGTTGAAAACAGATGAGGATTGATTTAATATTAATTCAAAGTGTTCTTTATACATAAAAGAAGATGTAAGGCCTTGCTGACACACACTGTCTAAATACCAAAACAACAACGTGAGTGGCAACCATACAATGATTTCTCAACCACAAAAACACATCAACATTGCAGAAAATTATGCTGTTTTCATCACTTAGTATATTTTGTTAAATTTGAAATTGGCAATGAGCAGGAAATGAAGTCTGTTTTGCATACATAAGTGATTTAAACCAACAGGATAAAACATTCCTGGTAGGACTTGAGTGAAGCTTGGTCCTTCCAAAAAGTCATCTGATGATCATGACTTGATCATGAGTTTGAATGACTTTATCTATACCTCACACCAGTGATAGATTCTGTTGGTGTTTATGTTTCTGTTTGTAAAGTTAATGAAACATTATGTTTTCTTATGCAAAAAAAAGATAGTTGAAAAATAAGATTTTAAATTTGAATATTGCTTGTATTCAAATAATATGATAGATTTATATGTTAAACATTCTCTGTATACATGTAGTTGTTTAAATGACATTTGTGAGTCTGATTATTATAGTTCGCTTGAGTGACGACAGATTGGATCTTGTAAGACAGGCTGTGAAATGTAAACCAACCTCCTTCAAGCAGAGACAAAAGGTATGCTAACTAATGCATATTTCAAAATATTTTTTTATGTTATTGCATTCATTGGTAAAATTGAAATGTGAAAATGAAGCATGTAGCAGTTAAATAAAGTGTGAGAGATATTCCTTTTTGCTTTGTTTGTGTAAGATATTATAATTAAAAAATATAGTTTAAACAAGATAAAAATGTTCCAAAAAAGTTCATGTCAAATTAAAATTGATTTCAATAACATAGATATACCTTTTTAATACAATCTTTTTAATTCAGACATCAGTATTTCAGATAGGGATCTTTAAATAATATGTTGGGTTGTTTGCTGTAATTTCAAATAATTTCTGATATTGTGTTCAAATATTAAAGCCATTCTGCTCCAATTTTAAAGTGTAGGAAATATCCGAAATATATTACAATATTCCTTTGGGATGCAAAGTAGCTGGACTTTTATGCATTAACACCTAGATTAAGATCTTGAATGTGTTGTTGACAGCTGTTGAGGCTGGGACATCTACTGCGAGTTAGTGGAGATGACCGAAACCTCCGAGAAGGTCAAGTGTTACATCTCATCGCTGAAGCTGCTGTAAAGGTAATGTCTAATGTCTACCTGTAGGTCACCCTTATCGAAAAGAAAAAGAAAAATTATTCCTACTTTTACTCATTCACCCCTAAAATTTCATAATGAACTCTTTCAACCTTTGAATTGGAAGAGTTCAAATATGCCCTCAGGGTTAAATGAATTAAGGAATACATGTATTAAAGAAGTCAGAAGTCTTTTGCAAAGTACAAAAATGGAATTTGTCTTGTCTATAGTATAAACCTGACTTGTCGATTTCTGATTTTATGAACCCCACCTTAATTAATTCCAATTATTTAACCAAACATAATGAGTAAGTTAAAAAAGTTTAAGTGTGCAGGATTTATCTTTTTTAATTACAGGGCGAGGATTTCATGTTCGCATTTGAGGTGTGTGAGGACCTGATGAGTCAATGTTATGGGAATGCTTGGAATATCTGTGTCGACCTCGCCTGGCAAGAGAAGTTTACTGATATGGCTGCTAAGTATGTACCAAGAGCAACTAGTGATCAGTATAGAGCAAAAATAATATTTGGTTTTGATTGCATTTTATGAAGAACATCCTTTAATAAATTTTATTTGCTGTAAATAGGATGTTAAACATATTAATCAAAATTAGAATTGGATTTCATGTATAATAAATGAATAAATGTCAAGGAAAGTTGAATGTTGTAGTGAGTGAGATGCAATGTTTAAGCTAGCTAAATACAGTGTAAAAGTGACAATAGTTAATGTATGGATAGACCTCTATTATATAATTGATACTCTCAGTACTTAAATCGCAATTTAATTCAATACAATATCAGTTAAGACAACTGCAAGACTTTAACTACATCATTTAGTCCAGGAAAAACACTACTCCTTATATAAAGCTAAAGAAGAATGTACCCAATCTGATTAAAATCATATCCTACGTTCTCTACGTATCACATTAGGTAGTGATGCGTAGAGAATGTAGATTGAATGTACCCAGTATATAATACATTATACATCCCCTCTAGATCTACAAACACATCCTTGACAATCACCCGGGCAACAAAACCCATTGACAAACACCCGGGCAACAAAACCCATTGACAAGCACCCCTCAGCCAAAGCTTGATGACTCCGATCACCACTCACACACATACATTCAAGACTTCACATGATATCAGGAAATGAGGTTATCAATCATTTAATATGAAATAACAAATTCTTTTGATGTTTTTCAGGGCAAAGTTATTGTCGTTTTCCGTGACCTACTGTACCCCAGATATGATAGAGCCAATCCTTCAGGCAAAGGCTTTGCTGGAAACCCAGGTAAGATCACTAATAGCCATTATCATATTGACAGAAATACAGTATTGGGATCTCCTTGTAATCGGATATTCAAAATCCTGTTTAGCAGATGTATCAGCAGAGTGATTTTATATGTCCAGTGTTTAAACAAACTGTTTTACAGACAAGACTTACAAGTGACCCTTGACATTTAGCAATTTCAAAAGTCAAATGGGATTAACCCTGATTTGGGGAGAGTCAAAACTTACGAAAGTCAAATAGACCTGTCCTTTAAAACCCATGAGTCAAAGTTCATTTTGGGGGGTCAAATATATACAAACATTGTCTCAAGAGTCTACTGAACACCCTGCATTTCTATTTAGATTTAAGCGAAGGTGTAATTACAATGAAATGATTTTCTTTATCATAATGTTACCATCAATGATAATATTTTTTTACATATCTTAGATCCTGCATCGGTCCTTAAACACGGACGTTCAAGGAGAAGTCGATGAAGGCTCCCAGACACATGAGGTACCTCTGTCAGCCAGAGATGCACTGACGCAAACTAAAAACATTTTGACATCAACAACAAAATCCACCAAAGCGTTACTATCGACAATGACGGATAAGAACTGGTGGCACGGGACAATGAATTACCTAACCAAGTCCTCGAAACAATCTACGTACACGTCGGATCAAGGCCATCGTGATGAGAACCAGAATTTTGAGAGACAAGGATGTCATCCATTTTATTGTGATGCCGTTGAGAACGCATACGTAGATCTGGTCAGTCTTTACCACTGTTGAAATCGAAAAAAATATAACAGAATACTATGATGTTTGTAGATTTAAACTGTTTATAGTAGATAGAATCAAAGGTTTTAAAGATTTGGTATTGATTTACCTTATTGTTAAGAATTTCACATAGATATTTAATATTTCTATTCCTCAATACAGACTTATAGAAGTTATGGAAAGTTAACTCTCCAAGAAAAAGACAATCTAAAGAGATAGCCATATTTAATTAATAACTGCTGTCTTTCACTTTTCAGTTTTTAAATGAATATATTTCTGGTTCTTTGATAAAACCGACCATTGATCTGAAAGATATGTCAATGTCATAACAAAACTGAAAGGTTGAAAGCCATTATTTACTTTCATGGTATAGTGTACTACACAAACTATCGTGAAAATAAATCAGTTTAATTTGTTTATTTGAGATTAAATCCAAATAAAACATCAGTTTGACTTATATGTTAGGAAGCAAAGCTATGATACAATGTGTTTTACAGAGTGCAATCAACTACCAGAAGTGTCAATCAGAAGACGACCTCAGTACCGAGATGAGCTTGCTGAGGGCTGTGTATCTAGAGGAGATGCTGACCGAGGGTGAAAAAACACAGTCCACTTCACAAGGTAAGTTATCATCATGAAAAACTCCAGATAGATGACTAACATTATTTTTCCCTGAAATATATAAAAATTATATATTGTATATTGCAGTAATTGTATTAAACTTCAAAGATGCCTTTTTATTGCAAATCAGGTGAATTGCATCTGGGCCGTTTTCGTTAACGGTTGAACCGGTCTGACCTAGTAATCTGATGCAGCTTTCTGGCGAGCCTTGACAAAACCTTGCAAGGCCTGCATGAACATTTGTCGGTGCCAGGATTTATACTCGAAATTGTTACATTAAATGTTAATTTCTTTCTTCTTTTTGCTTTTTCAGTCTGAAAGATATTTGGGCACATGTAGACATGTGCCAATGTTCATAACGGTACAACTGTGTGACATTTAAACTTTGTTTTCTGTACCTACAGTATTACTGAAGATAGCACAGACCAAAATGACTGCAGACAGTACTTTAGGCTTGGCATTTCTTCTTGCACTTCCTAAAGTAAGTTTCTGAATTTATTTCATTTGCTATTGTTTTGGATGAAAAAAACTTCTTACCTATAATATTATGTTGATGTGTCTGTAGCCTATTTGGGGCACTATCAGTCCCATTAAGTGAATTCCAACGATTTAAAGTACAGTTAAGAAAAATAATTATAAGGCTAAACCCATAATTATAACATGTTATTGTTGAGTGTTATTGTGAATTGAAGAAATAGAGATGGAGTCTTCAATGCTCTTAAAAGAAAATGTTTGAAACATTTATGACTGGAAAATGACCGAATAAATATTTGTACTGTTGGTATTCTTTCTCTCTGACAGGAGGTGACGGAGCACGACCACTTTACTATATTTGTACTGTTGGTATTCTTTCTCTCTGACAGGAGGTGATCACGAAGCACGACCTCTTTGCTATATTTGTACTGTTGGTATTCTTTTTCTCTGACAGGAGGTGATCACGAAGCACGACCTTTTTGCTATATTTGTACTGTTGGTATTTTTTTTCTCTGACAGGAGGTGACGAAGCACAACCTCTTTGCTATATTTGTACTGTTGGTATTCTTTCTCTCTGACAGGAGGTGACGGAGCACGACCACTTCACTATATTTGTACTGTTGTTACTTTTTTTTCTCTGACAGGAGGTGATGGACCACGACCACTTTGCTGACTTACCCTTCACAACCATGTCTCTACAGATGGCGCTCTATTACTTTGCCCTACAAATCTACTCGGCTTTAAGGCCGACATTTGACCCTGAGCTAAGTCTGTTGTACAAGTATCCACCGTTCAGGCTGATAGAAAAGGTCAGGACGTACGTCAGTAGGACCAAAGACCATCAACAGCCCAGTGAGGTTGCCCAACTGGTCAACAACTTCAATCAGTATCAGGAATTTCTGGAGGACTCCATCCAGGCCAAACAGCTGAAGAAACTGGACAGAGGTCAGTGTGACCATGAAGTATATTGGACACTTCTGTTCCTAATAAAAAAATCTTACTTAAATATACTGCCATGAGATCAGCTTTTGTGTAAAAACAAAAACAAAGAAAACACCACTGTCAAGAGAATACATTGCAATTGCTTGGGTTTTTTTTTAAAGCCAAATGCTTAGATTAACTTGTTCATAATACATTTGTTCTAATGTATGATAATTTGATTTGGTTTTTTTCCCTTTCAAACAGGTATAGATACTGGACGGTTTACGAAGGACAGTCAATACAGGGTGGAAACTATCTGTGGGCTAGCCATGTTAGTACACCCATCCATGTGGAATTTATGGAAATTGAAATATTCTAGAAGTTCAAATACTCATGTTGAAATGAAAAATATTCTCAATTAAATAATCTTGAGATTTAAAAGATAATGTCAAAGATTGAAAAAATCAAATTTATAAACATATAAGCTTGTAACATATACATGTACCAGTAAACTTTTAGAGAGAATTCATCAGTCTAGAATTTGCATATGAAGATGTTTTATCACAAAGGGAATGTCGCTGTAATAGTGGTTAGTACTGCCTTCAGATTTAATGTTCTTTTTTACTATAATTAATTGGAACAGGACTTTGGAGGAGAGTGTGTACAACATTTCCTTGTCCCTGGCGGCCAGGTATTCTGTCTGTCTGTGGGATGTGTACATGGCCCATCTGGAGTTCCTCTTCTCAGACAGTCAGTAAGTAATTTCACATTTTTTAACTACATGTATTATCAAACAGTAAGTAAATGTTTCAGTTTCTGAATAATCAAATGATAATTTTCCCTCCAACTGATGATGGTATTTCATAAGAGAAAACATAGGATAAATCGGAAGTAAAACTGTCTGAGACTTAGGTATTAGATATATATACTTGGTATCTTTATGTGTTAATGTTGGTGTGATCTGGTAATGTTGTACAGATCAGTCACTAAGTTTAATTAACGGTTTTGAGAATTAACAAATTATGCGGTAGAATTCCAATTGTCGGAACTTTCAATTATTCATACCTTGGTCTTGTCCTCCAGTAAATAGGCAGTTTTAATAGTATGTGACTGGTTATCTGAACAATTTGTATGTGTCTCATTGGATTAAGATAATATATCTGCTGCATATTTAGAATTCAGATACTTTAAGAAATTATAGTAAATAATTAAACTGAATAACTCAGTTTGTCAGGTCATCAAAAAGATGAAGTCATCTTGGTGCTCATAATTCATGTGGAAATAATATATCGTGATACTTTATGGTAAATGTGGTACAATGTACATGCTATTTTCAAATTAGTGAATTAACCAATTGTATGCACTTTATATGCATTTGTTTTGAGATTATTTAATGTGTACTATATTTGTTTGATATTTTTTATATAAGGCTGAAGACAGAGGAAATAGAGGATCGTGTAGGAAGGATGGGGATTCTGTCTGTACTGAAGGAGAGAAACGAAAACTTTGTTACGAAGATGACTACTTATGTGTACCCGTCTGTGGAGGGGACAGATCAAGCCCGCCTCCTGTATTACTACACCCTGATGTCCGGGATAGACACCCCGCTAGCTGGCAGCCTCACAGCTGACGCCCACGTCAAACTCCTCAAGAAAACTAAATTTTCTGCTGAAGGTACATGGTAGACTTATTCCATATAGATATTAGTGTGGATTCTGAACCATTGTTATGTTATTTTGATATTTGATAAAGCTTTGATCGATGATATCACTATTTACTACTTAAGAGCTCATCAGATAGATAATTCTTACTCAATAATCAACTAATTTTCTTTATGATGATTCTCTTTCCAGAAATACTTTTTGCTTCCACCTCAATAACTAATCTCTAAAGTGTATATTGTGAATCCATTTCAGTTCTTTATATTTGCAGTTCCATACATCGTGCGGAATATTTATCAAAATGTTGAGCCTTCATATTTCATGTTGTATGAATCAGACTTTGATATTTTATAAAGCTTTGATCCTGGATATCAGTCACTATGTACTGTTTTAGAATGCATCAAAAGATTTCTTTACATAATTCTTGTTCAATAATCAAGTTATTTTCTTTTATGGTGATTCTGTTTCCCCGAAACACTTTTTGTTTCCACTTCGGTATTTAAATATGTAGAGTGGCTTAAGTAAGTAAAAATCAGATGAACTACATCTATTAACAAGAAAACATCAAGTGAGCTAGTCAGGTCAATAGTCTTCTGGCCATGGTCAGATCTAGAGTTTGAATCCAGTTTCGATCGCTTCAGTTCTCTATAGATTTGTATTGGCAGCTCTATACATCATGTGGAATTTTGGTTTGGTTTGTTTATGTTTTACGCCCCATTAACATCTATGGTCATTTAAGGATGTGCCAGGTTTTGGTGGTGGAGGAAAACCTGAGTTCCCAGAGAAAAACCACTGTCTTACGACCAGTACCTGGCGACTGCCCCACGTAGGCCTCGAACCCGTGACCCAGTGGTGGAGGGCTAGTGGTAGCAGAATGTCAGACGCCTTAACCCCCAAATCCAAATGTTGAGCATTTATATGTTTGATGTATGAATCAGGTACATGATTTTATTTCTTGTATAGGTTTGGACTACAAGAGACTGGTGGAGGGAGAAGACAACCCTGTAGATGTTCTGGTTCCCATCCTTACCACCAGTAACATAACTGTGATAGCTAAACTAGCCAACAAGATTCCAGATGGGGTGAGTCTGAGTCATGCTCAGTAAATGAAATATTATAAGTGTTTTACTGTAAGATATTCCAAGAAATAATTAAAACTCAATGATCGATTTGAAACAAAAATGGTGTTCCAAATCAATAATCAATAATGAAGTATGAAACAAAAACAGTTTTTTTTTTTTACCAATGCATTTAGTAAAATAAGAGTTTTACAGTCAAAATGATTCAAGGGAGGAGTAAGAAACAATAGTACGAGGTATTTTCTGTTTATATCTACAGAAAGGAGGTATGTTGATGCCTAGTGCTGTGTATTGTGCCTGGGCCATCAGGATGTTCTGGGATACATCAGCATCTAAGAAGGTACCAGACACTGCGGTAAGTCAGACAATCATTCACAGGAAATAGGACAGCAACTTTCCATCAATTTACCAAAAATTAATCAACACAACTAAAAAGATATTTTTCCATAAAAATTATATCTAGTATTGTGTAACGTAATCATTGATAAGGAGAAGAATATTTTCTGACAAAACTTCTGATGTGGGTGCCTTTAAACTAGTGGATGTGTCCTCGTACCCCAAGGGTCCTGGTTACAACAAGGGATCGGTTGGAATATTGAAATGTTTACCGACCCCATTTTCTGAACAACAAAAAATGTTTTCTGAAACTTCACAAATGGATGTATCATGACTGCATGGTTACTGGTTAATGTTCCTGAACCACACTTGTGTCTTTCCAGGGTCAAGGTCATGTTGAAGGAATAAAGGTCAAATCATTGTAATCCTTGTCCATATGTAATAATTTCTGCAGCCTTAAACATGTTTTATTATGTTACTGTCATGTTTTCATCCCAAAGTCCAAGTCACACATGACATGAAGCAACACCTGGTTCTGTAAATTCTTAGAATGTTTCATCCCCAATGGATGTTTGGGGGACTGATTATTTTATCTTACCCTATTGGCCATGTCGTATTTTCAATGTGTTGTTGATATGACGTCATACAGTTGCTATGACTGGCAAATCCCCTGTTACAAAACCTTGGGTGACTGAGACAAGGATATATCGAACATTGTGAAAATTGTGGATAAATATTTCCAGTGTAAGAGAAATATGTATTCATTCCTAAAACTGTAAAGTGAAGGACATTTGCTACAAAGTTGCAATATTTTTCGAGATTTATTGAAACAAATATCAACATAAAAAGGAATATTATGGTATTATGATTAGCATATTAAGAAATCAGATTTTCTCCTTGGCAGAGCCTAAACTGAAATATAACATATTTTTTGTGTTAACAGCTGGGCTGGGTACATCGATATGAGAGCTGTCGGGAAACCCTACAGAAACTACTGCCTCAGGACCTAGTGCAATTTGTGGACTCAGTTGTCTTCGTTCCACAGTCAAGAGAAATGGTAATTAACAAACCAATTTACTGGATGTACTATGCTGATCTGATAAATACTCAGAAAGATGATTATATAGAGACAAAAATCATTCTATTCGTATGTATCAGCCGGCATTCAGACCCTGGTGATCAGCTGGTACCGTATATTTTTATTTGCAGAGATAGCTCTTGAATGATAAGCCAAATGTACCATTATGACTTAGAGGTCTGTGTAACAATATAAATATGTCCATATATGGTGGTGTTCTACACACTTGGTTGTGTTGTACTGCAGGTTGGGTTTGAGAGCCGACAGCAGATTTTGAACCGTTGTCTCAAGTTTGCCAGACAGCAAGGCAGCAAGAAGAAGAAGCAGGAGGAAGCTGGGTAAGTACATGCTTCAAAGACAAGTGGAATCATATTTCAATAACGTTAGTTTCCTTTTTTTGTGCAAAATAATTCTAACCATAAGGTTTCGTGGGCCTATATGTTTGTTCCACATGAAAGCTATTCAGCAATAATGGCTCAAGAACAGCATTACAGTAGGACTTTTTACACAAAACTAGAAAAAAACTTTGACTGTATCTGATCTGTGACTAGACTAAATTTGTTCAACAATAATAGCGCCCAAACTATAGGGTTTATGACAGCGTGTCAATAAAGCCATGGTCAATATAAGATCATGTAATTACCTAACAACAATTTTTTGTCTTTGAACACCAAAAAATATGTTAGATTTCATCAGATTTTCTGAAAATCAGGTGCCAGTAAAGTCCGGCTTCACTTAAGGTATATAACAAAAATAAAAACAAAGAACTGTAAGGAAATCAGAGAGCTGTGGAAACTGGTCACTTTTTTTCTTACTTGATATTTATATGTCATTAAGTGACCAGATGAGTTGGGAGAAGGCAGCATCGGTATTAAAGGGTTACCAGTCACATCTTACTGTGATGCAGCACCAAACCTTACAGTCCCTGGCGGAGTCAGAGGCTGGCGACCTCCGGCAGTACTCACTAGAGCTCGACATGAGCAAGGGAAAGGCTGTCAAGGTAAGTAACACTTGTCTCCGTTTGGTTCAGTAAATCAAAGTCTTCTGTTTTTCTATCGGATTAGCTTTACCAAACAATAACATCTCACATGGACAGTTAGTCCAGAAGGCTTTGCTTGGTTAACGTTGTCATTGGTTCTGTTGTGTTTTTCTGTGTCATATTTCTTTGAGCAAATGTTTTTATTTTAGATGTAATGATTGAAATATTTCATTGAGTATAAACTATAAATGTGTGTAAGCATCAATTGCTAATTTAAGTAACTACGTGATTAAAAGAAATATATTTTAGATGATGAAAACTTATAATTATATAAGGTGTCATGTTTTTGCTCATTTTAGTTGGAGGAAATATTTGTGAGGATGACCTGTGAAGGCTTGGGTATAGATGTAATTGAGAATCTGTTGTCGACCATACCCACGTTGTCATGGAAACCTTTAACAGCAGTCCAGCAGTCACTGGACAGGATTATTTCTCATCTAAGGTAACTGTCTCTGCAGGAAAGACATGTATTTAATCAGTCTGTTTTGCTTTTAAAAATATGGACTTTAACCTCCATTTATATAATTAGTACACACATATTGTTTCCTTACTCTGAGCAGAAACGTAAAAATTGTCAAAGTTTTAAGTTATAACATTGTTATAAAATAGTTATAAAATTTGAATCAGCTAAAATAAGTATAACTCTTACAGTATAAGGAAATGAGAATGGCCAGATCTAGACTTGAACCAGGAGAATAATATTAACTTCTATTTGCAGCGACGAAAGTTCTAGTCTTGACTGTGTGGAGGAAAGTCTGGCCTCCTTTCAGAGAATCGTCAACAATGTCTACTCACACGGGCAGGAAGGGTAAGTAACTCTGAAGTATAAAATAACAAGTGTCTTGCACACCACGGCAGTAATGAGGGATGAAGTATATGTCATCATTTTAGATATGTGAAGGAATATAAGGTTACTTGGTTTGAACTATAACAAGTATTCATTGGTTGGTTGGTTGAATTGGTCAGTGGTTTTACGTCTGTCTTACACTGACGGTAGTCTGTGTTTCAGCCGACGCGAGGGGATAAGTTGCCCTTTACCAGACCCTATTGAGATTCAAAACGTCCTAGGCCCGGCCAGGTCACGCCCCAAGGTCCGACTGCTCCTTAGATGCAGATAAACTGTTATAGTGGCTTTGGTCCAAAGATCCATGTCCTTCATGTGGTCCCCGTTGTCCTCCTGTTATAACTGGTACACAAACATGCAGGGGAGATAACTCAATCACAACGGTTTTCATACTGTCAGTAAATGTTATGGACATTGTCTGGTGTATGGTGATCAGAGCCAATGCCAAGTTGTTTTACTGTATATCAGCATTACTGTGTTGTAGCGGAGACCATGTGACAGCTGAGGACGTGATGACCTTAGTGCGGCCATTTTGCTCTGACGATACAGTAGCAGTAAAACCTCGTCTAGACCTCCTTCACACTTTAGAAAAGGTACAAAATGATCTTGAAAATTGTGTTTAAGTTTCAGTACATGTTAGATATCAACTATTTGATCTGTGATATCAATATTTAGATTATAATTGTATAAATATTGGGAGTACTTAGTACTGATTACTAGATAAACAGTAAAAAGTGAAGCTATATCGTTGTGTAGTGGTTTTGGTCGATCATCAGAGACCAGGTAGCTCAATTGGTAGAGCGTCCGTCAACAGTTTGGAAGGTCCTGGGGTTGAACCCTGGTCAGGTGATGTATTCTTTCGTTTCTATTACTGTTGAAATAAAGTGCAGAAATATCTCTATTTTTCAGAGTTTTGACCTGTCCCCTGAAGACCTGGTGTTACTAGTGCTGTACAGGTCGGAGGCGGTGATAAACAAAGGCTGGCACGACATCACTGTATGTACTTCCTATTATTTTACTGTTATATAGGTATATATGCATTGGATTCCAAACATCCCTAAGCCAAGTCTTACATCTCTATACAATAGCATCGCTTGGAATCTGATTTTTTACAAAGGGTTGTCTAACACTGATTGACGGGGACGTGTTAAATTTAGCAAAACCTGCTCCATCAATCGTTCTCAAACTACACTAATATACTATCCATGGCAATTTTCACTGGGTGTTTTAATTACACTTATTGGTATAATCTATTGCCATATACAATGTATAGCAAAAATGTTGCCATTCACATAATAGCAACAATTTCGTATAACTTTTAACTTTTCAAATGTTAAAAGTACCTTTTTATATGACCTTTTTGGGGGTTATATTTTTGGATTCTCACTTCCAGATCAATGCCACAAATTGAGGCCAGTATTTAAAAGAAAAAATAATACAAAATTAAAACATATCAACTATCACCAAGTAGTTTACCTATGACCATTTCCAGGATCGTCTTTTCAGAGTAGAGATCACAAAGGTCAAAGTTCAAATAAGTTAGTCTGTGAACCACTGAAAATATATTCATGCAATTCTATAATGTCAATGTGATGGTTTCAAATTAAATAAGGAGATTATTGTCTACTAATTTGAGTATTTGAATTAAGATTTCACATCTACACCATGTACAGGTACAGGAGGCCGATATCAACACAGACCAGGCCAGATTTTCACTCTTCACTCGTCTGTTGTCATTGACAACGACCTTTGAACAGACACAAGCTCTTTATAAGCTCCTCCATCTCTGGCCACCACTGACAGCATCAAGTTCAAGGTATGTACGGCTATATATGTTTGTTAAGACTTATTTTGTAGTAGGTCTTCCTAGCTCCACATTCTTGAAATGCCTCTCCTAAAAATAATTATCATATTGCTTCAAAAACAAACGACTATGTTAGAAATGTTTTATCAAACAGTTATCTTGTAATACACCCATGTCATATATATATAGATGTGTGTATGAACTCGTGTGAACATTGATGTTTGGTTTTATACTGAAATTAATACTCAAGAAAATACTATGAGGTTAAATATTTGAAACCAAGAATTTACCCTGAATGCTCAGACTAAGGAATTTATTCTGATTTCCTGGACTATGGAATTTAGCCATATTTCTCAGGCTAAGGAATTCACCCTGCACATGACTGCTATATTGTTGTTTCCTGTGGTGTGCTCTTTAGCTTTCAAAAAGATATTAACTACACATAGAACATAGCTGTTTTCTCACCTGCATAAGGTTTATTTCTTAAATTTTGTCCCGGTTTATATCACTTTGCCTTTCCATTTGAAGGGTGGCTATGGAGAATCCCTGGGTGAACATCTTCGACATGATGGTCCAGGAGAGTGACCAGATGAATCGAACACTTGTGTGTCCCTGTCTGAAGGAGGTTTTGTCTGTCTGTCAGCTCAGTGAGGAGGTATATAGTTAAAGACTCTTCTGATAACTCGTCTCCTCTTAATCAGGATTACCCGTCTTTGGACTGATGAGAAGTGGTGTTTTAGTTACCTGCAATCACATGTTTTTAGAAGTTCAATCTTTAAAACCTGCTGGGGACTTTTATATAATGGCCGATGCCCTCATCGATCGATCGGTCTGTATTTCATAATCAAATAAATGTGGTCAATTTACTTAATACTAAATATCTGCTAGTATTTAGTGAATACAACAAGTGTTAATTATAAGAACGACTATAATTTCTAGATATTAATCTTCCAAAAATATGCAAGAATTTTCACCAAAACGTTTTTAAAGGTATCATTAGCTTCGTAAATTATGTTTTCCTGCAGTACTAGTATTAAAAACACTGCTATTCATGTTTGACAAAGTTACAAAAAAATTACAAAGAGAACAACATTATAATGTATTATTTAATTTTGTTTTCAGTGTGTACGTCATATTTATGATAGCCTAGTTACTACGTCCACTCACTTGGAAGCTGTAAGGTGCGCTCTGATTGGTGGATATGATGACCTAATGGTTACTGCCATACAACACCTTGCATCACAGCCTCAGGTAAACTGTACATAGCTAAATAAATGTTTGGAGTTCTCGTAAACTATTGACTTCAGTGTTTTGGGGGTACGTTCGGACCTAGTAGATGTGGTATGTGTGAATATGTTGTTACATAACAATATAGTGGTATATTAGGTGGTTGAAAAAATAATTTGTCTTGAAATTGGGAAAAGAAGGCGACCTTTTCAATATGTACTGTATGCAGCACTACTAAACAACCTTGCTCAGGTCTGATCTTCTGAATACCATGTAACAGGGTATTCCAGACATATGCAGTATACAATACATCGAAATGAACTACATTGCAACGTAAATACAACCTTTGGTTAAATTTACAATTTTTTCAAGAAATACAAAATGTTTTATTATTCATATCAAATTTTCAGGTTGCACCAGATGACGATCTTCTTGACCTTATCGTGCATAATGATCTAGTCACTAGAGTGGTGTTCACCCATATATACCCAGCCATTACAGACTATATTCTGGCCAATCAGAACATTAATGATGAGTCACGTGACTATCTCTCGGTTAAGGAGGTGTGTAGGAGATTAGGTGAGCAGGGGTTTGAAGCAGAGGCAGGATCTCTACTGATGAGGAGTCGAGCCACACACCCATTCCTCCAGACTTTTAGTGCATCTTTACAATCTCTTAAAAAGTGGTTTTAACGTTAGTGAAGCATGAGTAAACTCTACCAGATGTACATGGGCGAGTTTGATCATCAACCATTTACCATAGTCGAGCTGTAAAATATCATTAAATGTGCTTACATATACTGGTAAGCAACAACCAATCACTGCCTTGCTTTCAAATAATCACGCATGCTCAGACTATACCACTAGTTAGTCTGGTCCAACCAAAGGAAATTGGTAGGTTGTACAATAGTTGCCAGGCATGCGCACTGCAACTAGCTTCTTGTTTCTTTACACATGCGCAATACACCTTACTATCGTACTCTAGTTAGACCACAGTCGCTACAGTTGACGATCAAACTCGCCTGAGGGTGTAATTGCCCTTGTCTCTATAATTTCTTTAAAATGTTTGTTACAATAATTATTGATGCAGAAATGATTCTGTGTACAGCTCATCTTAAACAAAGTGCTATTGGACTTGGTATTATGTAGTTGCATGGAACTCATTGACAACTACTCCATAAAATTATTAAGATTTTACTTTGTAATACTTCAACTAAAAATAATGGTGCAGGTCTTTTAAAAGGTAACATTGATATTGATTATTACCAGGTAAACAGATTGGGTCAAAAACAGATGTACTATCAAACATTTAATATTCATTTACCCTGCTTCAAGAGTTTTTATGAACTAGATAATCATCAAGTTTAGTACTAGATAATTACTGGAAAAACCAAAGTCAGAAAAGCCTTTGTTCTGGAATCCTATCAAACTATGACTATATAATATGTACACTTATGGTGCACTATTTGCAAAGAGCTGACAATCAGAACATCATACAATCCTGTCTGTAGTTTAGAAGTTTTCAGAGAACTCAATCTGGTTATGATTGTTTATGGCTTACTGATAACAGCTCTTCAACTCAAAGAGGTCATTTAGAGATATTTAGGTTTCATTCGCGTATCCTGGTTGAAACGGTACAGGTGGCGCAGAAATATTCCACGATAAACGAACACACTTGGACAAAACTATAGGCATAGCTAAAACTACAGAGTTTCGGAAAATAAGTAACAATGTATCAAGAATAGTATGCCCTTCTTTCACCCGTCCACTGAATTACATAACATATCTTACAAACTTCATGTGGATTGACATTGTTTTAGAAAGAAATAACGCAAAACTAGCAATAGTCAGCATTTTAGTTTCGGTCAGGTACGTCTGGACCTCTCAATCTACACGTGCCATATAATTATTACTGAGGTCAGCCTCGGTTGTTCATAAATGTGCCTGTTGTTTTCTTTCCAGGTTCAATGCTTTCAACTGGTTAAACAGTATACGCGAAAGTGGGAGATATTGAACAGATAGTCGGGAAATTATAATAACATGAAATTGAATTATAGATAAAAATTATGTCAGAACTGCAGTAAGCCCCGGGCCAACTTGTATAAAACATCTCAAGTCTAAGATTTCCCATACATTGCTTGTAAATTTTCTTAACTTTGAGATGTTTTATACAAGTGTTTCAAAACCTGGTACGTCCTTCAAACCTGGTACGTCCTTAAATGACTATAGCTGTTAATAGGACGTAAAACACAAACAAACCAAACCCTGGTGTATACAGCATTCAATCCACTATGTATCCTTTCTGTCTACTGTTAATGAAGCTCATGCAGTTTTTACTCAAGATCATGAATGGATTTTATTTTCGTCGGTCACATTTTTTCTTGTTCTATGTGTTGCCTTACACATGTATAAGAAAATATTAATTGTTAACCATGCTACTAAAAATTAAATTCTGGTAATATATTTATCAGATCTGTATCGAGTTATGTAATGTTACTGCTCAATTAAAATAATTTATGAAAGATTAATGTTTTGTTTTATTGTTACTTTCATAATTGCAAATGCTTTCGTTGATAGTCTCAAAAATTAATATTGCACCGTCATAGGATGAGTATTACAAGGATATTTGCCCGACAAGTGTCCTCAATGTCATCGCTTTATAAACTGTTTGTTATATGATTGTCGTGATACTTCCTGTGTGATGGGTGGGTAAACGTAATCTCGTGCATAAATTTGCGTGTCAACATTTCTGTGTTTCTCGGGTCAAATCAAGGTGACATACTACTGAAAAACAGAATTTTAGCTTCATTGCTGTACTGCAGGCTAATATCTTTGCCGAATGTCACAAAGTTTCAATAATGTGTTCACAAGCATCACTTCTTGCACAAATAAGAAATAAGGGGCACCAACATTTGGTACAAGTTTCCATTTCTGCTTCCTGCTTTTAAAAACAGTGTCACTGTAACTATCACAAATAGTTTTGGTGTCATCACTCTTAAGTTAGACTTTTTAACAAAGTCAAAAACAAGGTCACCCTTTCTAACAAGAGCTCCTGGAGAACCTTCGCATACATGACATTTAATGCCATCATAAATAAGACCTGATAGAATCATGTATAACACATAATGTGAAGGTGAACAAGGTTCCCAGCAGCAGATTTGTCAACTTAATTTCAAGGAGTATACGGGTCTTGTAGGTTGAAAGATTTGTTAAGTTATATTTCAATTCATGGATAATGTTTAGGTGCTTAAGGATGTACTCTGAGGTTTCGGTCATGTTCAAGTCTCGTTTTGATCTGGTGTAACGGGTTTTTGTAATATTTAACAAATTATGATAGGTTTAATAGCAAACACAGATCTGAAAAACATGTCAAAAAACTAGATGTCTGTTGTGTGTAGATTTTGTTTTAAACAAGAATTTGAAAAAAATGACCAATTTGGCGGCCATTTTGAAAAAGTGTATTTATGTGAATTTCTTGCGCTTCACAAAGGGCAAAATTTCACCTTTTTTGACACTAGATTAATCACTTAAATTGTCATTGTGTCACCATTTTTAAATGTACAGCAGGTTCAATTTTGCTGTACAACTTCATAATGTTCAATATGATTAAAATAATATGCAAAAGAGTGGAAAGTTATATATTATTGGTAATTTTTTTTACATATTAGGGTAACTGAAGCACTTCTGATTTTTGATCTCGAAAAAGGTGAAAAATAACACAAATAATAATGGGACAAAAAAAGAAGCACACTGACCCCCCATTTTTGTGGCTGTTTTAGAAAGAGAAACACATTTTCTTTTGATTCATTGAATACCAAAAAAAGTTTAATACAGGATTTTTTTATATCAAGCGTTTAATCTGCAAAAAGTGGTGAAAAAATGTGCATTTTTCATTAAAAAATAAGGGGTAGGGGTAACTAAAATCGCATTTCTGAGTAAATTTTACTTCTATAATTTAAAAGAAAATAATATTTTTATCAATTCTACAAACATTCATACATATCTGATAACACACTTGGAAGAAATTGTATGAATTTGTTCTGCAAATGGTCAAAACCCAAAAATTCACCTAAAATCACCTATTGTGTTAAATTGGTATTTTTGACCGATCATAGCACAAAAACGAACACACGGACATATATATTTTTTTGCATTTTCTACTATGCCATTATCTCCTTTTTCCAAAAATCAATATAAGAAAAAAATCAATATAAGAAAAAAAGTTTAATACAGGATTTTTTTTACTTCTCAGAGGTGTACATCCTTAAGGGTCCTAATGGTAGAAAGATAAGTCAACTTATAATTAACTGACATTAGTTATATCATAATGTCAGGGAGTACAAGGGTCCTAATAGGGAAAGATTTGTCAACTTAATCATTTGTAATATCAAAATGTAGGGGAATACAATTGTCTTAATCGTAAATAGATTTGTCAACTTTACTCATTGATGATTAATGGGGTTTTTTCATGATGTACAAGGGTCTTTATAATAGAAAGATTTGTCATCTTTACTCATTGGTACATGGTGTACTAATGTTCTAATAAGAGATAGATTTGTTAACTTAACTCATTTGTACATTCTGTACAACGGTTCTAATTGTAGAAAGATTTGTCAACTTAACTTATTTGTACAGGCCTAGTGGTGTACAAGGTCCTAACAATGGAAAGATTTGTCAACTTAACTCATTTGTACAGGGTGTACAAGGGTTCTAATTGTAGACAGATTTGTCAACTTAACTCATTGGTAATATTAAATTTGTCAGGCTGTACATGGGTTCTTATGGCAGAAAGATTTGTCAACTTACATCATGGGTAATGTCTGCAATCCTAGGAAGTATTGGAAAGATTTGATAACTTACACATCTTTAATTCAATGTATAGTAAATTATTACGTCATCGTGTACAAGGGTTCAACTGGTGAACATATTTGTTAACCTATTTTAAAACATCATGAATAATCACAGGATCAGAAAAATGTACCAGTGAGTGAAGTTTTGTTGTGCTTCATGGTTCCTGTTGTGTTATCTTTAGCTCACCGTGGTCCTAAGGATTTTGACTAAATTTGGTCTGGAGCATTCTTAGGCCAAGAGTACTCCATTTTGTATAAACGCTTGGTGGGGTCCCCCATGAGGCAGAGGAGCGGGGCCCAATAGGGGAAATATATGTAAAACCTTTAAAATCCTTCTTCTACAGTAGAGATAAAGGGATTTATCCTAATTTGGTTCAATTTTGTATAAACGGTGGGTGTGGCACCCCTGGGGGGACAGAAGTGGGGAAAATAGAGTTAAAACCTTTACAAGAGGCCCATGGGCCTAACCAGTCATCTGACTACAAAGATTGAGCAGGGAGAATGGTAACTTTTCAACTTTCAATGAAATATTCTCAATCCCACTGGTGGAAGTTGAGAAGAAGTTTAAAATGGGTTTTTTAAGATGATGTCCATCTTAGATATTGGACCTACCCGAAAAATAACAATACTTTGTCAGGACCATTTCAGGCAAGTCTCGGCTCAATCCCACTGGTGGAACACGAGAAGAAGTTTAAAATAGGTGTTGTTTAGGAAAACCATGATTGCGAAATCATGTTACAAAATGGCCACCATGGCTGCCATGTTAAAGTTTTGACGGGGCTGAAAAATAACAACACTTTGTCTAGTTGCTTCCTTTCCTTGAAATACCCACTCAATGGCACCAGTTAAACTGGAGCAGAAGTTTAAAATGTGTATTTTAACATGGAGGCCATAGTGGCCATCTTGGATTTTGGACCAACCCTAAAAATAACAACACTTGGTCAGGACCATCTCGGGATCATTTCAGGCAAGTTTCAGCTCAGTCCCACTGGTGGAACTTGAGAAGAAGTTTAAAATGTTGAAAGTTTACGGACGACGACAGACGAAGCAAGATGACTAAAAATCCTTCTTCTGCAGTAGAGATAAAGGGATTTTTCCTAATTTGGTCTGGAGCATCCTTGGGCAAGGGGGACTAATAAAAAATATAAACGGAGGATCTGGCCCCTCTGGATGCAGAGTTACAGGATCCAAAAGTGGGATCTGAGGTTTGAATCTATGTAATAAGAATAATTTTCCATGGTTGCTTTATTATCCAGGTGAGCGATACAGGCCCTCTGGGCCTCTTGTTGGATGTAGTGTGAGATGTTATTTAGTGTAGATTTAATATACCTGGCACTACTAATGAACACGTGGACTACTGCCAGTCCCTACAAATGCAGAAACTGCATTGTCAGCATTTCTTCCCCAAGCAGTGTGAAACCATGCCACAGAATCCATCCATCAGCTATGTTAGTCAGTAACACATACCATTCACAGTTGGTATATATATATATATTTTCCCTGCATTATCAGCATTTTATGTAGAACTGTAGCAATTACATGTAACCGTTACTTCGGCCAAATCCAGTACAGTAATAAGGCAATACAGATTATGCATAAGTTTTGTTTTGTCAGGAATGAAAGCTGTCTTTTTAATGTAAGGATGTCTTATAGGAATGAATTAATTTGATAATTTTATTAGAAAGAAACTTGCAACAATGGAATCTACAATAACAATATTTAAAAAAGAACAAGAGGCCCAATGGGCCTGCATCGCTCACCTGGTATTAATCTCACACTTGTAATCTTAAAAGTGGACTAAAATACAGCTACAAGCAAAATATCAGTGTTTCATTCATAAGAACCTATTAAAAGATTTAAACATATGACACCTGTGACCTTGAATGTCGAACAAGGACATTATAATATTAGGTTGAACAGAGTCAACTTTGCACAGTGAACTTTGGAGCAGCATCGTTTCCTGTCCGATTTGAAGTTTGAACAAACAATGCAGCAGTGAGAAAGTGAGATCACAGGGGTCACCCGTTTACAATTAACATGTCTTATGGAGATCACAGGGGTCCCCCGTTTACAATTAACATGTCTGATGGAGATCACAGGGGACACCCGTTTACAATTGACATGTCTTATGGAGGTCACAGGGGTCACCCGTTTACAATAAACATGTCTTATGGAGATCACAGGGGTCACCCGTTTACAATTAACATGTCATTATGAGTTTTTGTATCCGACTTAACGAACACACTTCTTTAACAACCTTTTCACTTGTAGAGTAAATATCTTGCTCGGATTGTTTTAAGACGGACCCATGACAGAAAGACAATGTTTTTAGGCAGGGAAACAGTGATGTCATGGACTTCTGGGTGAACCTTACTTTTGTACTGACATTAAGTACATGGTAATGTCAACTAATTTCCCTGCTACAAATACCTGACTAAAGCCACTGTTATTTATAGTTAATTTTGTTTGTATTGGGTTTCCATTGAATAGTTCTGTAGAGAGGCTGTATAGTTTAATCACACTGGAATTATTTTCCAAGACAGATTCTGGAGGAATGAACTTTAGGAGATCTAAGAAATTCGCTTTTTTGTCAAGGTGTGTATTCCTACAGACTTTAGAATGCTATAAATAGTGAACATTCTACGCTACAAAATCTCAGATTATTATTATTATAGTCAAGTCAAGTCTTATCGCAATGAAATGAAAACAACGAGAAATGAAACGTTAACTTTTAACTAGAAAATGTCTGTAAGACATAAATGCCCCCCCTGCCATGTGAAATTAGTTTTAGTGTTCTACAAAATGTTACAACCACTTTGATCTTGATACCCTGAAACATGCACACACACAAGGTACTACACTTAAAGTTGATTTAATAGTCATGTTTTTTCTGTATGTTATTACCATCCTGAAACACAAGGATGTCAGAAATATACCCATATTTGACCTTTATATAAAGTTTGACCAAAATCCATGAAAGAATGAAATTGCCAAGTGTTTAAATTGAATCAGTTGATGATTTCTATATATAGCAAGTGTGACCTTGGCCTTGACCTTGGATCCCTGAAACACAATGATGTCCGAAGTATACTCATACTTGACCTTTGTATGAAGTTTGACCAAAAACTGTAAAAGAATGTACTTGACCTTTGTATAAAGTTTGACCAAAAACTGTCAAAGAATGAAGTTGCTAAGTGTTTACATTGAATCGGAACGCGACAGGACGAGATGGACATGGCAAAACTACATGGGGGGTATATGCCCCCCCCCCCCCCATTTTATGGCGGGGGCATAAAAATCACTCAGAAGAGTTTAAAACAAACAAAAAATCCATATGTGAATAAAATTGTTTTATTTGCAAATGTAATAAAAAAGCAACCTTTTCTTCCATAGCTACAATTAGAATATTTATACTATATATACCAATTCTACAACTCTGTCGTCGGTCTGTCACGTTCTTTAATTGAAAATTACAATCAAAAGGCACATTTAACACCAGCAGTGGGTGGAGATGTTAAATTTAAGGGTCCACAATCCGGAGTCTCTCTCCTAATTAGGGAGAGTTGGCAAGTATATAAGCTCTGTTTTGTTTCATGCTACATGCACAACAAACATACCTATCAAGAACACACAACACAACAAAAAGTACCGAGTATTAGTGTAATGAGTTAATTAGGATGAGTATCGATATTTGACTAAATTATCCAAAATGTGTATATGTATCAACATTTCAAGTCTTTGAAGTTGTATGTAGCAGGTACCAATAATAATTACATGGTACACATTGTTTATTAGTACTTAGTACATCTTTGTATGGGGGGAATAAGTCTCAGTCTCTAATCCCATCTTTTGAGGTAGCATATATAAATGGCATTTAATAAGAAATGTTACAATTTAATTAATCTCTCATGAATACAAGTTATAGGGGTCTGATCTGGAGTACACCCCTTTGGAATCATTCAAAAGTATATGTTTTTTAATTCGTACTGGAATAATTTTAGACAGACAACCTTCATGTAAAAAAATTCTGAAACATTTTGGCAAAAAAACTGAATAATTGTTACAGAATAAAAAGACTAGATAAATGAGATTGAACCTAACTGAACTTGTTTTGAAATAAACATTACAACCTTAAAGTGTCCCATACAAAGAAATCAACAGACTGAATAACGTTGCAGTCACTAGTGAAAATCTGGTTTTTCAGGGTAGTTACAACCAAAATGCTGAATTACAACTTTAGCAGCATAGGCGCCACACCGCATGCATTCCTCCAGAGATTTATTCATCACCAATTGAGATAGAAATCCTCCCACAAAGGAATCTCCACAGCCATTGGTGTCTTTTATAAGGCTACGTTCGGCAGGTACGACAGGAAACACAGTGATCTCCCCTTTATGGCATGTAACGGTTGCTGCCTTTCCTTGCGTAAATATTATTGTACGTTCTTTGTTCTTGTTTGCCTTGGGTAGATTTGCTGTTAACTTGGCAATGTCTTTCAAGTCCGAAGACTCAAATCCTTGACACTTTGCGAATTCTGCAGCTTCATCAGAATTTCCGAACAACACATCAACGTATTGCATCAGATTAAGTTTGGGGTCTGCAAAATGTTTGCAAAGGAAAGTGGCATGAAGATTCATTACAACTGTTTTCCCATTTTCGGCAGCGTGTTTGGCCACAGCTAAAACAGCCTCGGAGCTGACTGGAACTATGAACCCTCCAATGTAATACATTTGAGCATTTTCAACTAATTTCCAATTGTCTTCCTGTTTAACAAAATCGGATGTGAACAGCTCTGCAGCTCCAAGATCTGTTATAAGAGATCTGTCTTCACCAGTGATCACGGCTGCACATTTACCCGTTGCTTTCTCTGAATGAACTTCATATTGGACATTCACACCAACTTCTTCGGCTTTCTTTGCTAAAATATCCTTAAACACATCATTCCCTACTCCGCCGAGAAAAGTTGTGGCATTCGGCTTCTGGAGTAACCACTGAGCCACACGAATAGTATTCTGTGTGGCACCACCGGCTAAATAGATTGGAGTGTAATTTTTGACGAGATCATCAAACAGAGGCATGTGTTGTTGTTCAGCGATTATGGCATTGTTGGCTAGCAGTTTGTACTTGTCCAGAAGAGCCTGGTCAGCCTCTACTGTGATGTCCAGTAGAGGGTTGCCAATCCCCAACAGGACATCCTCGGAGCAGCTATCGGATGACATCTGAAATATTTGAAACACAGTAATTAAAACGGTAATTATAATGCAATAAATGATAATCGATAATTCAATTTCCAGTTATGGAATTTATAGTTCCTATTAGAAGTACACCATTATTTGGTAAGCATTTTAACCATCCATTATCTGTAAACAAGAGTACCGCGGAGCGGAACAATATATGTCCGTCGAATGCCATATAGTGTTACATTTTGTATATCCTTTCTTACATTGAAATATGATCTCTTTGCATCATTCTAAGAGTGTTATCTGACATGCTATAAAAAATGTAAGAGAAAATCTCCGGACAAAAAAGATTTTAAGGGAGACACAACTTCATATCATGATTATAATGTAAACTAAGTTTCAAAGAAATCCGTTGAAAAATGTAGGAGGAGATTGCCGGACAAAAATCATATACTGAAATAAACAAAGGGCAATAACTTTTGCAAAAATTGTCGAATCAAAATTCTTTTGAGTGAGACACAACTTCATATCATGGTTATAATGTATACCAAGTTTAAAAGAGATTGGTCGATAAATGTAGGAGGAGATTGCCGGACAAAATTCAAATACTGAAATAAACAAAGGGCAATAACTTTTGCAAAAACTGTCGAATCAAAATTCTTTTAATTGTAAGGGAGACACAACTTCATATCATGGTTATAATGTATACCAAGTTTAAAAGAGATCAGTCGAAAAATGTAGCAGGAGATTGCTGGACAAACAAAAGTTTACGCCGGACGGACGGACCACCCCATACCATAATACTCCCGTCAAATTTGATAAGGAAGCACTGCATGAAGTTTGAGTTTGATCGGCCCAAGGAAACTCAAGTTATCGCACCAAAACCTCTGTGCGGACGGCACCGACGATGCTGACGCCGACATAGCAATACCTATGTGTCACCACCTTTTCGCAGGCGACACAAAAAAACTGATTTTATTGTGTATTTATTTAGTTAAGTTGAATTATTCCTTTGATGTGGAAAACATAGACTAGACCTAAATAAATATATTTATTTGTTACATTTCATTTTTATCAGTTAAATATTAGGAATTTTCCATTTGATATGAAAATAAATGAAATATAATATCTTATTGGTAATGTGAATCAAAGTCCAGTCTGAACCGTTCTTTCTATTCATTGCGTAGATTTTCAGTTTCAAGTCTAGATGAAGCAACAGTAGAATAAGCGGTTGTTTTGGTACACCTTCGCAACATACATAAAGGATCTGTCATAAGTTTTCCTTCATATATTAGATTGATGAAAAGACTCTCAGAATGTTTCAATTTAGCGAGCCTCTGGCGAGCTAAAATGAAAGACTCGTGACGAGTTTCATGAATTTCATATGAAATGAAAACGAGTGTAAGATCCTTTTTATCACATAATCAAGATTTGTGGCATTTCTTCGTGTAAAACGACAATTTTCATGCAACCTTGAAATGTAAAAAGCTGCCATTTTGACTCTAGTACGGAAGTCTGTGGTGTCATGTACTGTCCTAGGCGTGACGTCACAATTGATACAATTGAAATTTACAACCAATCGCTGGGCTGATAGGTATTACACGGGTTAAATTAATACGCAAAAAATATGACAGGGGTATATTCACTGGATAACACAGTTCATTATGTGATAAATGACATTACTACACAATTGATATCAGTTTTGTTTCAAAAAACCTTCCCAGATAATGGAAGCAAACAGGATAATTCCATTGAGTTATAATCTGCTGAAAAAAGCGCTATGCCTTATTATCAAGCTTGACTTCATTAGAATTGGTCACTAAGAATTAGTGTGCTATTAATTCCTTCAAATGTTTAATGAATCAGTATTTGCATCATGTTACTTTATGAAAATGTAAAATTAAGAAATAGAAAATTTACTGGTTTTCCTGTTGTATATCCTCTTTGTAATAAGTAATGTTTAGTTGTTTTGGGATGGCCTCCCTATGCCCATATTTCTTCCTACACTATTTCCCTTAAAAAGAAAAAAAACATTTTTTATAGGATTGTCTCCCTTCCCATATCTATTCATTTCTTAATTTTTTACATGGCTTGCCTCCTTATGCCCATATTCCATTTAATACATGAAATTAATACCATTCCCGTATTCCAGAAGAGCTAATTAAAATACATTCAGATTTCCTTCAAATTACAACAGCCTGTTTTAAGATTAAATGCTGACCAAGTTTCATCAGAATCCAGTCATTGACTTTCATACTATGTACAATGCACATCCTTTACACAACTCCCCATATTTAGCTCACCTGGTCCAAAGGACTTTTGAGCTCATGCCGTGGCACGGCGTTCATTTGTCGTCCATCCACTAGGACGCTACTAGTCCTGAACGGCTCAGTTGATTTTGCCGGGAACATCCTTTAAATTGGCAAAGGGGACTTAATTTTGTATACAATCTGAACAGTGCTTTCAATTCTTTGCATAGATTTTCAGTTTAAGTAAAGATGAAGCAACAGCAGAATAAGAGGTTGCTTGCCAAATAAAACATTATGGTGTTTGTAAAATTAAAATTACACAATTGATATCAGTTCTGTTTTTCGAAAAATCTTACCATATTAAGGGAAAAAAAGAGCAGAATCGCATCAAGAGACCCGTTCAAAATAGCGCCCTGCCTTGTTATAAAAATGCACTATTTTTTGTTTTCTATTAAAAACAAGAGGCCTATATGGGTCTGTATCGGTCCCCTGTTTTTTTGTTACATGAAGTTGTTGGCCAAATATTGTGAAGTTAGGTTGTTTGGATATTTAGAAGTGGTTGAAGGGTTAGTTATTTGACCCCTGTGACCTTGAAAGTATACGTAGGGCAAGTTCTTTAGCTTCCCACCAAGGTCTTCTTGCCAGTTTTGCCTAGAGGGAATTTCCCTTAATTTAAGTGGTAGAGCGTCTGACTAATAAAATCTTTTACTTGTAACTGAGCAGGCTTAGTCTCAGTTGAGGGCTAGAGTCTGTAACATAATCCCAACCAAGGCGTTAGCTGAGATTGGAATGTTACAGAAAATTAGTCCGAGACTGAGATAACCCGATCTCGCTCAGTTTAATACAGGTAGTTGATTTTTTTTCTTGCAACTTTTAGTTAGAAAAAAAAACCTGTTCAATTTTCCTAAAGTCTACAAGTATCCCGTCTGGGGCCTCAAATATATATAGCATCTACACTTCTAAAGCTGCATTTGAATGATTTAAATACCCCGGGATATATTTGAAATTGCTTTCGCTAAAATAAAGTAGTCCGTCCTTACAAAGAAGACAACATATTTAGCAGTGAAGATTTTATTTTATCTACAAAAACATAATGTTATAAGTTACTAATAACATCAAAAGTTCAAAACAACACATTTATAAATATAATAACGACAAAACGGAATATTTACAATGGAGATTGTCAATTCCGAGCTGTTTACTCGTGAATAAATATTTTATTGTCGCTACAGTGTAAAAATTCTGGGAAATGCACGTAAAGGTACCAGACATATCAGACGAGACAGAAAAATCTATCACAGTGTATCGTGGCATGGGATATCTCTATCTGACGTGCGAGAATAAGACGTCTTGGACCACAGGTTTGATCCCTTACAAACTCACATATTATTTCTCTAGTTCCTTCTTACTATTTATGGTTATGGAGTATATAGATCTATCTTCAGCTTTTAAATTTGACAAGTTTAACTATAATTTGTCCGATTTGACAGCTCTTTTTCATTTCAACAACAGTTTGAAGTTGACAAGCCTTGTTTTCATTTTTGGAGGGGTTCCATACCTTTTTTCGTGAATTCGGTGTGTGTTATTTCACACTGTCACAACAAGTAGTTGGAACTGCTCTTAGCTCCCGAAATCAAGTAACAAGGTGGAGGAAAATCACTCGCGTGTGTTCAGCCGAATGTCAAGATATAAACAGACCGTGCCGAGATATCACATCCAGGTTGTCGACGCGGTTATCAGTCTAAGGGAGAAAACTCTACCCAAAATTCACCACACCTTTCTATATATTTAGTCTCACTTTTTTCTGTTGTAATGTATTTATTAGTCCGAAATATTCTGACTTTTTATATAGTAACGCCAGACTGATATAAAAAAAAGTCGATAAAACGTCAGAATAATTCAGACAAACGTTAACGCTATGTACATGTATTTCATATAGATATTTGTGCATTGATTTATAACACTTTTCAATCTAGACTCAGTGACCCTCTTAACCCACAATATTAGCATATAACGTCTCTGGCCCAGGTAGAGTTTGTATTCATGATCTTTGCTGTTCTTAGTCAAAATTCCTGTAGCTGTTCTGGACAAGTAGTTTTTTCTTTGACACTGATAATCGTAAAATCATATATATATATATATATATAACTGTAGTGTTTTAGGTCCAAAAAATCCAAGACTATGTGAAAGCAGTTCGAAAGTAACCCATAAAGCTAGAAAGGTGGGCTAAACACTTTATTACAACTAGGCATACGAAGAAGAAAGTTGAGTGGAACTAAGTTTACCTTTCGCACGGTCGAGTGGTCACACAGCCTCAATCACAGGGGCACGTTACAAATGTCTGAAATACACACATATGCTATACTGATATGGGTCACAACACACATAAACATACACAAGGGAAGAAGCGTCGTCAGAGCACTACCGGTACCGCCAAATATCAAATGAAGATTTTCAACACTTACTTTTGTTATTGTTTTCAGCGATCTGCGGCGATAGCTTCGGTTTGAATTGTAATTAAATAATCCATCATGATCAATTGTGTAATCATTCGTCTAATACATCCAATCAAGCACTTTTTCGGTGAATTTGCAGTTTTCCCGCCATGATTAACTTGAACCTGACCCGGAAATGACGAGGGCTTTTCGACATGTCTTTATACCATACTGCCAAATACTAAGGAAAGTCCCAAGGACCCCCGAGTAGAGTCTAGTCACGCAGCAAATATTTTTTGGCGCAATGTATAAAACATCATGTCTCGCATCGTTTCCTGGTACGTATTTTGCATTTTACGTTTAAAAGTTACCGTATCAAAAATATTGGACTATGTAAATGTGAAATACAAACCAGGACACGATGCCAGACATGATGTATTAAACATTGCGCCAAAAACTATTTGCTGCGGGACTAGACTCTACTCGGATGGCCTTGGGACTTTCCGTAGTATTTGGCAGTATGGTATAAAGACATGTCGAAAAGCCCTCGTCATTTCCGGGTCAGGTTCAAGTTAATCATGGCGGTAAAACTGCAAATTCACCGAAAAAGTGCTTGACTGGATGTATTAGACGAATGATTACACAATTGATCATGATGGATTATTTAATTACAATTCAAACCGAAGCTATCGCCGCAGATCGCTGAAAAAAATAAAAAAAGTAAGTGTTGAAAATCTTCATTTGAAATTTGGCGGTACCGGTAGTGCTCTGACGACGCTTCTTCCCTTGTGTATGTTTATGTGTGTTGTGACCCATATCAGTATAGCATATGTGTGTATTTCAGACATTTGTAACGTGCCCCTGTGCCTCAATCGAGATCGATGGTGGAGATCAATGGGACTTCCGGTCAAATTGTTCCCAAGTCCAGGTCTGCTATCGACTAATGTGTGTAAGCCTGTTGATCTCTGATGTTGTTTACATGTATAAACACACGTAATTAAGCTGGTTCGATTCCGACATCCTAGCTTCACACATGTCCACACCAGTCGACTCGACACAACAGCCATACCTTATAAGTATCCTTTGTAATTGGCGGGCCAAATTTTCGGGGCACACCGGCAAAGTCTAAAACTTTATGACGTTTCGGACAAATATTTCGTAGTCGAATCCGACAAGTCTGTGATTTTGTAAGCAGGATACCATATCGCTTCTCAAATTAAAGCGTTGTATTATATATCTGTGCCAAAATAGTGATACCAATGGGTTGTAGTATACAAACTTGAGTTGGTATGCGGCCCGTATTGGACGTGGACGGTGAATACACAAATACTACCCAGGACATATCATACCCGCCC